TTGGAAGATTTGTAAAAAAAAATTATATCTTACGATTTTAATCATATTAATTTTGAAGTTTTATAGTATAATCATGGACTTTATTTTCTCAATTTATAACTATTTTCACATTTTTTTTCCTATTGTTATAAAAATTTGAGCTCAAGATTTTAAGAGGGGGTGGGATATGAATGCCCATAGAGCCATGGGCTAATTTGGCTATGAGCGAACATTATTGTAACATAAATGACGGAATTACTTAAAGATACAGAAATCTGAGATTTAGCATTTTATGCTGAGGAAAAGAAAATATGCCATCATTTATGTGATTCGATACTTCTGTTCTTCCATTTCATGATTGCTTTATACAGTTATACCCAAAAGCCACCGACCTTTTTTTTCCCCTTAGGATCACAAGCCACATTTTGGGCGGGAGTCTGACGATCTTATATTCTCATGCCTCCAAGCATAGCACGGAAAATCCGAGAAAGAATGGATATTCTTTCGTATTTATTGTTTAAGAAGTATAGAGCTATCAAGGGTGGATTGCGGATACTTTATTTTTTTTATCATTTTTTATGGATCTAAATATAATTTTTTTTATGTGTTTATTTTTCTTTTTAAAATAGATCTATAGATTAACTATCATACATGTTACTAGTTACTCTTTAAATATTATAAAATTTCTCGTTTAAACATGTTTTGAATTTTAAACTTTTAATTTTAGTTGAACTTTATTTTAACTATTTTCTATTTAAAATTAGACCATTCTATTGAGTTTTATCAATTTCAACAATGAAAGTATATATGTGATCTGTATGTGATTGACTTTTTAATTTTTTTAATAGTTAAAAATATATCAAAATTTACGAATGATTTATTTTTCTTCTCCAAAACCTATTTCTTCCTTTCTAGTATTTTTAAATTGCTCACTTCTTAGTGTTTATGGTGGAAAAAAACGAGTTTTTGAAAGAAACGCAAAACATCCATAAGTTTTGATATGTTTTTAATTGTTGAAAAACTACATTTATATGAATTAACAAAAGCCTATTAAAAAAATCTAATTTCAAATAAAAATAGTTGAAAGATTGATTCTCAAATAACTTAAAATTCGAAAGAGTTTTGCATCGTTTAGCTCCTTTTTTATATATAATGTTTAGAATATTTAAACTTTTTACAAAATCTTTTGACATTTGTTATAAAGAAGATTTTCAAATCACGAACTGTGAATCTTGTCATTTTTAGCGATGCAATAATAATTATAGAACATATTTATTGATGAATCACTAATCATGTCCAACCACATCGTTTAGTAAAACAATATATATATATATATATATATATATATATATATATATATATATATAGCATTATCTTTTTTTTGTCCTTTTTAATTTTCAAGCAATATAGAGTAAAGTAAGTAGAAAATACTCTGTACTTCATCTATTTAAATCAAGCCATATATAATAATTGATAATCACGTTAAAACTGGTATGCTTTAATTGACTTGGTAAGATGAAAACAATGATCTCGTATTCCTTTTCCAATCAAATCTCGAATATTTCACCATCAAGTATGAGAAAATTTTATAATCTTTAATAAATAACTAGTGATATATGTAGTGGTTATTTCATAAATCTATTTTGAAGAGAGAAATAGATATATAAAAAAAATAAAAATTACATCCGAATTCATAAAAAATGATAAAAAGATTTCTACATTTGCTCAACTTAATTTTTTTTATAAAAATTTTTTTTATTTGTTTCTATCTCTTTTTTATATATCTATTTCTCTTTTTAAAATATATCCATAAAATAATTATTATACATATCATTAATTACTCTTTAAATATTATAAAATTTCTAATAAAATACCCTCTTAAAAAGTCGTCTAATGCCACAAAGAGACAGCAATTTCGAACACACGTTTCTCAAGTGTAGAATTGACAATAGCTTGTCTTTGTATACATTATATTTATACTCCATATATATTGGAACCAACGGTAAATGAATAACCACGTGTAAGGACTCTCTTAGATTGCCTCCAGAATATGGGAAGAATATTTTAAAAAATAAAATTCAAATAATATTTATTAAAACATAAAAAGATACGGGTTGCCTAAAAAATTTGACTCGAGCCAAGAAAAAAAAACTCTAATCATCGGACAAGTGTTTTCGATTTTGATTTTTTTATGTACATAAAATACTCCTTAGATATTTGTATTTTTTTTGTAATTTGAAATCAATTGGAGATAATAATAATAATAAAAAAACCCATGAAGTCATCATTAGCTGTGTCAGCGCGCAAGGCGCAAGATGCGATTGATGGAGTGCAAATATGTGCTCCGGTTTATGACTATATTTTGCGCATGTCCATTTATTTCCTTTTTCAAGCGCAGGAGAGAATTTTCTTCATGCTAGGCGTAGGTAGAATTAATTTTTTTCGACCCGGTTGACCTGGCTAGATTTTTTACAGGTCGGACCATGCGGTGAAATCCCAAGGTAATCCAATCATGTAATTTCTAGAAAATTCCTTCAAAAAACTATGCTATAGATAAAAAAGAATATAACGTTGCAAAAAAGAAAAAAAAATCAAGTAAAGAAAATGGCCTTGGTTGTTCCTTTAATTTTGGACTCTTCTCCACAATTTATCTTTTAATTTATTTTCCCTTGCCCTATTTTAAGGGGTATATATATATATATATAATCCAAGTCAAATTTCTATATATATATATATTATCCCTCTTCTTTTAACGAAAAATATTACATATTAAGAACTCAACGAAGGTAAACTTGATTTGGTAATCAGCTCGTTGCATAAGGATTGTGTTACTATTGCCTAAATAAACATAGAAATTAATCAAAAAATAATTTTCTAATAAAAATCCCACTAAAGAGGCAAGGAAAGAAATTTTGGTAAAAGATTGAAATTTAAGACAGTCATCATATCTTTTTTTTTTTTTAATATAAATTTGTCATGTGACCCTCTAGGAGGGCAAAAAAAAAAAAAAAACTCGAGGAAACCCCTTTTTTCAATCACTAGAAAATTCCTTTCAAAAACCATTTAAAAATAAGGAAAAAAATTTAAACTAAAATTTTTCTTGATTTTATGTTGGTAAAAGATTACATAATTGAAAGAACACTCACATTATTTTTCTCCTATCGAACAGACACATTTATCTCCATAGGGTCATAGATTAAAGAAGTAGAAATGGAGAGGGATTAGGTTATTTGGGCATGATGAAAGGTGCTACTTGTAAAATTAAATTTAACTTTATACGTAGCTTAGCATATTTTTAAATATTACGTATTGATAACTCAATGAAGATAAAATTGAATGAATAATCAAAATTTTCAATGAGAAAAACTCTTCATCCAGAAAAAAGCCAATGGCAATAAATTCATTAGTGACAATGGGACTACCATTGGTTAAAATAGAAAATATAAATTTTTAAAAATAAATAAATATATAAACTTTTTCGAAATTTATTTTCTAAAAAAAATAAATCCCACAAAAGAGGCGTGAAAAAGTCTGATGAATAGAGAAATCCCAGTGAAATATTGCAAAATTGAGATTATAATTTTTTTTAACATAAATTTGTCATACAATCCTAAAATTGGGAGGAAAAAGTGATAAAAGATTGCAAACATATGCAACGTACCTGTTAGTATTATCTTTCAAAAAAATTTCACTTCTTTTACTTATGAAAAAATAAGTTTTATTGGCACTTTCATATTGGGCCAACTCCTCCACTTGAAATATCAAATTTTCCCTTAATTTTACAAAAATGACTAGAAAACAATTCTGACATTTTACCCAATAAAATGACACCACATTTCTTTCTTCATAAATTGTCCCTCTTTCGGGTGAAACAGTAACAGACAAAATCTACTGTAATAACAAACAACACACAACTGACTTCCCAATCAACTCCCCCCACTTTTTGACAATCATCATCGAGAAGTAATTACATTTAAATAATAATAATAATTACTACCACCATGCTTTTCCTTTCCTATTTCCTCTTTCTCAAGTTTATCAACGGAGTAATAAATCAATAAATAAATAAAATACACTCTGATTGATTAGCACCACTGCACCAGTATTTTCTTTTGTCGTTTCCTCTTTTTCTCTTTTCTATCGTCCATCCATCCCTCTCGCTCCATTTACATACACACAGCATACGCACTCTCTCCTTTTCTTTGTTTTTTTCGAGACGCCTACAATCCTAATAAATAAATAAATCAATAATAACACCAGTAGAGAAGGAAATACAGAGCCCCTCAGCTAGGGTGTACCTGATCCATAAACCCACAGATTTCATTCTTTCCATAAAATAAAAACCATAAAACCGTCTCAACTGTCGCCGTCTGATTTCTCCCTCCGTCGATCACCACCGTCTATTCTCTCCTCCTTTACTCTCTCTCTCTCTCCCTCGATCTCTATTTCTCCTTTTAGCTTTCATTCCCCTTTTCTGTGCTTTTGCTGCCTCTACTTCACTCACTTACTAACAGTCTCGATGCTCTATCGATCTGATGCAGCTGTCATGATCCGATTGGCTCCTTTTCCGTGCCAAAATCGCTTAAATCACCAGCTATTTTGCTCTACTTCCCCCTAAAATCATCGCTTATCGATTTTGGTAACTTATCCTCCGTCTTTTTTTGTTTTTGTTAGCTTAGTGAGCTTAACGGTTTTTATTTTTATGTGGAGTTCGTTTGCTTCGTTCTCAGTTTTGCTACTACTTTTCTGTTTTTGTTTTTTTTTTCATAAAATTGCGGGAGTTTTTTTTGCTTTAGATCGGGTATTAAAAGTATTTGTCAATTAGTTTTGATAGAAAAGTTTCAAATCTGTGAGGTACTCTATAATAATTTCAGAATATATATTTTTTTTTACTTTTTTGATTACTCTGTTGTTTTTATATCTAAGCTTAAAATCTGTAAATTACGAATTCCTTTTTAACAACTAACTCTTATTAAGTCCTATCTTTTTGGCGTTCTGTTATTTTTTTTTTTCAAATTTCAATGGACGAAAATCACAATAAAAGAATGAATAGCTTAAATTGTAGCGGAGGCGGAGGTGGTGGTGGAGAAGGGATGTCCGACGTCGTATTAGGATGCGTGATGCCGTACATACACGACCCACGGGACCGCGACGCTGTTTCGTTAGTTTGCCGGAGATGGTACGACCTAGATGCTTTAACACGGAAGCACGTGACAATAGCTTTTTGTTACAGTACAAGTCCAGATCGGTTAGGACGTCGTTTTGAGCACCTTGAATCATTAAAGCTGAAAGGGAAGCCACGGGCCGCTATGTTTTTCAATTTGATACCGGAGGATTGGGGAGGGTTTGTGACTCCATGGGTTAAAGAAATAGCGGAGAATTTTAATTGCTTGAAATCGCTTCATTTTAGAAGGATGATTGTTAAAGATTCGGATCTGGAGTTACTTGCTAGTTCTAGGGGGAAATTTTTGCATGTTTTGAAGCTTGACAAGTGCTCTGGGTTTTCCACCGATGGCCTTTGGCACATCGGTCGCTCTTGCAGGTAATTGCTTTTAGTATATTGGATTCATTAATTATAGATGGTATTAAGATTTAATATGCTCGTGTGCGCCCGATACCGCAATTATTTAATGTTTCTGTTAATGAAGAAGTTTTAATTGCCGTTCAAGAATTGTTATATTTTTTATGGTCCCTTCATTTGATTTCTTTCTTTTTTGGAATATTGAGCAGCTATGCTCCATTTATTTATTTTTTTAACAAGCTAAGAGTGTGTGATTTTAAGGAATTTTATATAATGCTTTTATGGATTTGTGTATTGCCTGGTGTGGAGAATTGAAGGTTTATTTAAGGAAATTCATTATGTTTTTTTAAACAGACCAATCTGGTTAGTTTTGTTTTTACAAGTTTGAAAATTTTGAATGTTTAGTTGCTAGCTTTTATCCATATAACACTGGCCAGAGTGAGGTTGATGAGTTTGTTGTTCAATGCCCTCAAATGAACTTGTATGGCTGTGTTTTCTCAGGATTGTAAATAAAGTAGAATCAGCAATCCAACTATTTACGATAAGTTGTAAAATTATGGGATTGGCTGTGGCTGTTGCCTACTGCTTGTGATAAAGGAAAAGAATATGCTGGGGTAATGGAGTAAGAGCTGGATGATCTTTTAATGTTTCCTACTCGTTCTGGATCTTGTTCTAGCAGGACTCATGCTTTAGGTCCTCTTGGAGCATATTCCCAACTTGCCATGATGCTAAGCATTCTTGTTATTTGAAGCACTATATATCATAACTCCAACCCACCCCCACACACCCCCACCCCCCCCCCCCCCCCCCCCCGCGCGCGCGCGCGTTGCCTTTGGGTTTGGGGGTCTTAACATGTAGATACGATACATTCGATTGATTATTATTATTGTGTTTTCCTCAGGCAATTGAGGACATTATTTTTGGAAGAGAGTGGAATAGTTGAGAAAGATGGTGACTGGCTTCATGAGCTTGCTACGAACAATACAGTTCTTGAAACTCTAAACTTTTACATGACGGATCTCACCAAAGTCAGATTGGAAGACCTTGAGCTTCTTGCCAAGAACTGTCGCTCATTAGTATCTGTGAAGATTAGCGACTTTGAAATCTTGGAACTTGTTGGTTTCTTTTGTGCTGCTTCTGCTATAGAAGAATTTTGTGGTGGTTCCTTCAATGAGCCAGATCAACCAGGGAAGTACTCTGCTGTCATATTCCCCCCAAAATTGTGCCGTTTGGGTCTCAGCTATATGGAGAAGAATGTAATGTCTATAGTCTTCCCTTTTGCATCCCTGCTCAAAAAGTTGGATCTCCTCTATGCATTGCTTGGCACGGAAGATCATTGTGTTTTAGTCCAAAAGTGCCCCAACTTAGAAGTTCTCGAGGTATGCTCATAGATGTGTTTCAACTCTATGTTGCTGTTGATTGCTGTCTTATTCATAATTTGTTCGGAATTCATGTCTTCATTTTACCATCCCCTTTATGCAATGGCTTTATCCCTTAGATAACTGTTTTCCCAATTAGGCTTCTGTTTCCTGTTATTTGTATTCTTGATCCTCCAGAATTTGCTGTTTCTTGTTTATTCATCAAATAAAAGTGTGGATTAGGCAGGCCTCTTTCTAGAAATAACATGACCAGTTTATCTTAGTCTGATCAAACTATCCATCTTCAAATCAAAAGCACAAGGAAAAAGAACTTAAGAAGGAATATTTTGATTTTGATTATCTATATGATATCTCATAACTGTCCATGGTAAAATTATGGGTGGAAAGAAGCTAAAATGACTATTTGTGTTATCCCTGACATAAAGTACAGCTTAACTCAAGTCTCTGTAGTTTTTTTTTGGACACTTTTGATGTGGATTTCTTTCTTTCTTTTCTTTTTCCATAGAGCATCTACTGCCTGAATTTTCCCGTTTTACTTCTTTTCTACCTCACTTTGGTTTTGAGGAATCCTGTGTTAATCGTGCAAGAAAGAGATTTGAAGTTCTTTAGAATGGTGAAAAATATGCCCGAATGCCTAGCCATTTCAGAAATACAGGGGATTCTATACTTGTTGTTGCATCCACAACTTTATTTGGGATTTGTCCGTGTATTATAAGTTCATATAGTTAACTTTGCCTTTTACTTTATCCCTTCGATAACAATTTTCCCAATTAGGCTTCTGTTTCTTGTAATTTGTATTCTTGATCCTCCAGAATCTGCTGTTTCTTATTTATTCATAAAATAAATGTGTGGATTAGGCAGGTCTCTTTCTAGAAATAACATGACCAGTTTATTTTAGTCTAATCAAACTTTCCATCTTCAAATCAAAAGCACAAGGGAAAAGAACTTAAGAAGGGACATTTTGATTTTGTTTATCAATATTATATCATAACTGCCCATGATCAAATTACTTGGTGAAAACAACTAAAATGACTAGTTGTGTTATCCCTAACATAAAGTACAACTTAACTCAATTCTCTGTTTTTTTTTTTTTTTCAAACACTTTTGATGTGGATTTCTTTCTTTCTTTCTTTTCTTTTTCCGAAGAACATCTAATGCCTGAATTTTCCCTTTTTACTTCTTGCATGATTTTGTACTTCACTTTGGTCTTTGAGGAATCCTGTGTTAATCGTGCAAGAAAGTGTGTATGAAGTTCTTTAGAATGATGAAAAATATGCCAGATTGCCTAGCCATTTCAGAAATATAGGGGATTCTTATACTTTTTGTTGCATGCAGAACTTTATTTGGGATTTGTGCTTGTATGATAAGTTCATATGGTTAACCTTGCTTTTTAAATTGGCAGACAAGAAATGTTATTGGAGATAGAGGGTTGGAAGCTCTTGCCCAGAGTTGTAAGCGACTAAAGCGGCTTAGAATAGAGCGTGGTGCGGATGAGCAGGAACTGGAGGATGTAGATGGCCGAGTTTCACAGAGAGGATTAATTGCCTTGGCTCAGGGCTGTTTAGAACTTGAGTACATTGCTGTTTATGTTTCCGATATAAGCAATGCAGCTCTGGAACATATGGGTGAATACTCAAAGAACCTCAATGATTTTCGCCTGGTCTTGCTTGAGCAAGAAGAGAGGATAACTGATCTGCCGCTTGACAATGGAGTTCGAGCTCTATTGAGGGGCTGTGAAAAGATCCAAAGGTTCGGTCTGTATCTCCGACAAGGGGGTTTGACTGATGTGGGTCTTGCATATATTGGACAGTACAGCAGACATGTGAGATGGATGATTCTGGGCAGTGTTGGGGAGTCTGATGCAGGGCTTTTGGCATTTTCTAGAGGCTGTCCTAGTCTGCAAAAACTTGAAATGAGGGCCTGTTGCTTCACTGAGAGTGCACTGGCTAGAGCTGCCATGCAACTGACTTCTCTGAGGTACTTGTGGGTGCATGGTTACAAAGAGACGCCTACCGGTCATCGTGATCTTTTAGCAATGGTTCGCCCATTTTGGAACATCGAATTGATTCCTTCTAGAAAGGTCGTGGCTGTTAATAATGCTGGAGAAAATATGGTGACAGAGAATCCAGCTCACATACTTGCATATTACTCCCTTGATGGACCAAGAACTGACTTTCCAGATACTGTGAAACCACTGGATGCAACAATGGTAGTTGCTGTGTAGAGCTTTATATGAAGTCCATGTGACTTTGTTTTCACTGCCGCGTCTTGTTTATAGATTTATCTACCTTTTTGCCATTTGGGTAAGAGTGTGTCAGTTTAATTTTAAAATTCTATATTTTATTTAGACCTTTGTCTTGTAATAAGTTGCGTCATCTTCTGTAATTTAGCCCTTCCACTCTAGGTGCACTACTGTGTTTATTCTGCCATCTGGGGCAATTAGCTCAAGGCAACCGTTTGAAGACTTTGTATTTCGTCTGCTTCAATGTTGGAAATTTTTCTATTACCTGGTAGAATTTTGGGATGCCTTTAATTGGTAAATACACGGAGATTTTCACTTGCATCATTGCCTCTCAATTATCTGTTTGGGTGCTACGAGAAGTACTCTTCGTAATAAAGCTCATCTCTTTGAAAGTATATCACACCCACACAGGTTTGTCCGTTGTGTTTTTAAGAAGAAGAGTCGGTGGAAACTCTGCTATTCATTTGTGGCCATGCACGGATAACATGGTTTGCTGGTGCTTGGGGGTACACTCCACAAACGGTAGGTTTTAGCAGCTTAAAGGATCGGTGGCTTGAGGCGAGGTATTTCTGGCAGCAATTATATGCTGGCAAATTTAGGAGCAAGATGCCTGTGTGTGACGCAAGGAACTCAGATTGATCCAAAAAGAACAGTCTCTCTTTTCAGAACCTACTAGCCGGGCACCCGTGCGTTGCTGTGGGTAGATATATTGTATCTATGTTTTAATATTTTAAATAATTTAAAAATAAAATGTAAAATAAAAATTAATTAACATTCATTGTTAAAAAAAAAAAAGTTTAATATATATATATATCTTAGGAATATTTTTTATTTTGATAAATAAAAAATATATGTAATTAATTATTTATTTTAAAAAAATCAAATTAGAAGATGGTGCTTAATCAATTTCTATTAGAAGAATATTTAATTTTAGTTAATGAATATTTATAAAAAATAGAAAAATTAAGCATTAATTATGGAAAAAAATTATTTTGATTAAATAATAATCAACGAAAAAACCAACTCAGTCCCCTCAAAAAATTAAAATTATAAGGACCTTTTTATAATATTAATTAAAATTAAGAACTATTTTATATAAAATAATAAATTAGATGATTAAAGTGTAAAATATTAAAAAAGTTAATAAAAAATATTTATTTTTTTAAAAAAGGACATCGTTTTTAGTTCCATTCTAGCAAGATTTAGCTACAATAAAGTTTATCATCTTTTAGTGTATGTTATAATAGTAAGTGGCAGGGAGCTAAACATGTCTTTGTGCAAAACAAGACAACAGGCCACGCCTTTTAACAAATCGTCCAATCGCATGGACAGCCCCTTCGGCTCCAACCTTGAAGATCAAAATGGACGCAACTTCAAAGATCCCGTGACAAATGCTGGTAGTGAGCTCATCTCCCGAAATCAAACACTCCTCAGATGCAATGGTGCTCTCCAAAGGTGAAGCTTTGGCTTCAAGAGAAGCTACGAGGTTAGCAATAGCCAGAAGTTGGGACAAGGTGGACTTTAAAGCCGAACTACAGGATTATACATACCCTGTCTATATTATTGATATGAATTTCATGTGGATAATTTTTAGGTTCACTGATGCAACATATAGCATCTTCCACATTTTAAAACTTAATCAACTTCAAGGGCACAAAGTTAATAAAAGGGAGAGTTTGATTTTTGGTTGGTTTAGGATCTAACCACACAATCATAAAATTTAGGGGATCAAAATGTAAGACAGTTTTGCGTGTAAGGGGTCTGTGTTATCGTGTGTCTGATGTCAATTTCCAATTTGTATTTGGCAAAACAACGAGAACTAAACTCTGTAAACTAACAATCATCTTCTAACTATTTTACGTTTAACGACAATGAGAAATAAACTAGCATTAGTGGGATGACAAACTGAACTAACAATCCTCCGGGAATATTGCTGAAAGCACATTAGACCAGCTGAACAGATCTGACTTTCTAGGAACTGGGTGTACCATGATAATGAGCTCTTAGCTTTAGATTTTTGACATTAATTAGTTCATTTTCGTGTGCTGAACTACGCAAGCGGTCCATTTTTGCTAATTGCAATGGGTTACGATTTCACATCAAAGGTAGTAACTGATTCAAACTTAAAGAAGTGTTATTACTATTAATTAGAACAAAGGTTTGAACTTACGGGGCACATCAAGTTCCAGACCGGAGAATATTGTTGGATTAAACACTGAAAGAGTTCGGGTTAGGCTCGGTTTGGGAATGTGGCTTTTGGGCAAAACCATGAGACGTAGTGGGCCAAAACAGATATTTTCTCTGATTGGGTGGGCCAATTCATTAACAAAAGCTGCTCCAACAAAATTTGGATCCTTTGTTTTCCTTGGCCTTTGGGCTAAAGGATGAGTACGGAAAATAAGACCATACTACACGTGTAGTGAAAGTATCAATCCATCCCTCGTGACTTATGGTTTTGGGGAGATGCTTCTCCCATCTCTACCCATCAATCGGTGAATTCTCGTCTTGTTTTCAATACCTTGACCTTTATGTTCTGTCTCGTTGACCCATTAGAATGTGATATTTTGGATTTTGCGACTCATTTAATGATGGAACCATGTTTTTTTTGCAAAATAATGAGAAGCCAGAGAGAGAGAGAGAGAGAGAGAGAGAGAGAGAGAGAGAGAGTTGTTAGACTCGAGCACTTGGAACTTTATAGTTCGGAGAAAGGGAGTGCACAGAGAGAAATCTTTGTGCAGATATCATTTCAGGAAAATTACAGGCGAAAAACTGAAGAGGCAGTTAAAAGTGTTTGACGTTCAAGAAGCAAGTATTGGAAAAAATTTGTCAGTCACGAACACCTCAACAGAAGATTGAATTTAGAAGAGAGAGTAAAAACAAGACCTAACGTGGTAAACTATCATGTCGTTATAAGTAGTAAATTGATCTACCAAATAAAATTAGTAAAAAGCAGATCATCATTGAACTTTCCTTTTCAATGGAAAGTTGAAGTCACACTAGTGGGTGACTTTCATGAAGATCAACTCAAAATTAATCACCAGAAAGCACCAACGGCAATTAAACTTGTCAAGTCACTTCATTCTTCGTTCGCACTGCCCTTTATTTTATCTTTTGTGCTGTTGTTCCCATCAAATGACCAACTCCACAATTAACTCATGAGCTCAACTGGGCGAAGGGAAAAATAAAAATAAAAATTACATTATGTTCATTGTTGGCAACTTGGACTGATCAATAATATTATATTTACCCCAAGTTTATCCCATCTGGGAGATCTGATGGCAAAGTTTTAGAGGATCATCTTTAAAATATTTCGGGCTAATGTGGTGGAACCTAAACCAGATATTTTGCAATGTCATGACAAACTGAATACAAACATGACCTAATTCAAAATGATATACCGACAGATTATTAAAAAAATCGTCTCTTTGTTATAAAATAAAGGAAAGGTTAGATTTTACGGTTTTTAACCTTGATTGAAATTAGCATAAAGTGGCAAGAGTGCTTTCTTATGCAACTTGCAGAAAGGCTGCTGAGGAAGCTATTAAGTATAAAATTTGCTCGTTTTGTCGTTTACAGAAAAAGGTTAATAAAGATGAGATAATGATAGGAGTACTTAATTTTTTTTTACGAAATTTATTTTACTCACAAATTTATTTGACTGAGTATTTTTGGTAAAACTGTGATTTTTTTAACTTTAGTTTTTATATCATTGTTATAACTGTAAAAAAAAAAAAAAAAAATGTTTGGTAACATGTGCTATTGAAATGTTTTTATGCTAAATAAAATTTAAAAGTCCAAAAACTTAATTTTGAAACGTCTAATTTTTAGCTTTCAAATAGCTCTCAGAAGTGTTTTTAAAATTTTACCAAACACTTTTTACAATATATTAAAAAAAAAAAGCCAAAAACCAAAAATAAATCAAAAACTCCTTTTATAATGATAGTTATAAAATATATTAATTAATGAAATACTAATCTTATAATTATATACAGGTACATGATTTAATAAAACAATTTTAGTAAAAAAAAATTAAATATCTCAGTCATCATCCATAAAAATAACCATACTGTCCATGTTGCTCTGGAGGCTTTGATTCTCTATTTGTGGTTTGCAAATTGACAAATATAGGAAGTCACATGAGTGAGCTTGCACTGGGCTTTTAATGATTGTTTCAGCAGCAACAATACTAGCTACTACTAGTAGGAGTAGAACCCACGATGGCAATCCATACAAAACGAGCACAGCGACAGGATATTAGGAAACACGATTCTTTATTTCCGTTGGAAACATTTGGAAAGAAAAACTTTGTGAGATAATGATTATCAATTAACCCTTTCCAAAGGACCCAGTAAGAAGTTAGACAGTTGGACGCCAGGGGGTTGAGTTTGCAATGATATGAAAGCGATCAATGATCTTATCTCGATCGTTTCCAATTTAGACCATTGCCATTATCCATTCCATAATATTGTTTCTTTTTCCTTGTATAGTACATAAGGAGTTCAATTTCTACCAATCGACTGTAACAGGAACGTTACATTTTCTTTATTCCCAATCAAGACAGGCCTATCTAGACAGGTACTTAATCATCATCATATATATATATAGCTCCTCGTGAAAAAAGTCAAATCAGCAATATAAACCTGGGTCATTGAAAGAGATGTTCTCTGGAGAAAGGGTGAAAGATGCAGAATTTTAATTAAGATCACAGCTACTAGCTAATTCATGGAAGAAGAATTTCTTATGAATATTAGGACAAAAACCAATACATTAAGGTGTTATTTGATGATTAAGAATAAAGTGATCGGAATGAGAATATAAGAATCGGAATGATATTTATATTTTCATATCGTGTTTGAAATACTAATGAGCAATCGAAATGCAATTTAAATTTTTTAATATCTGATTTTTTTATATAAATAATAAAAATAATAAATTTATTAAACTATAATGATTGTAAAAATAATAAAGGTGATGATGTTAATTATGGTTATGACAATGTTGGTGGCGGTGATGGTGGTAGTAGTGATAATGGTGACGCCGACGGTGATGATTACGATAGTTGTAGTGAGTGGTTGTGATGGTGGTTAGTGGCGACAGTGGTGGTTATGGTAGTGGTAAAAATAGTTAATAAATAAAATATATTATTATTTTGAAAAAAAAATTCATTAACATTCTTTGTTTTTATTCCTACATCTTACATGGGAATGAAGTTGTGTGTAAATTTTTATTTTTATTTTTATTTTATTTATTTTAACCAAACAGATTACAATGTTAGAATAAAACTTTTATTTTTATTTTCATCACTCTATTTTTTATTACCAAACACTAATAGCTTAACCCTCCAAAGTCAAGGAAAAGGTTAATATACATCTAACTCTCCTAATCATAATGCTAGATTCTTTCTATTCCCACAAAATCAGGTTAAACTGTGCGCAAAATCTAGCTAGACCCAAGTTACTATTCTTTCACGCGTTGTCAAGTTAAATAAAGAATCATGAAAGGCATTATATATGCTCCCGGAGGCACTTGAAAGAAGTACCATGCTGATGAAACAGTCTTGCCACCATCGACAAGTGGATTGGCGGAAAGAGAAATATCATAGGAAAAGGAAACATACACATGTATGGATTGGTTGAATAATTAAAAGATGCTTAAACAAAATGTAAAACCTGCATATTGGCATTCTTACGTGGATCGTTCCATATTCTACGATAGATGGAAGCATGTGATGCTCAACTAAGTGGAATGCAAACTCAGCTGCGACTAAAGAGATCATGGTGATGAAGCTTAGGTCAACTTGGCCATATTGGACCGCATAAAGCTAAGACGTATTGCTCAAAGGTTCTTAGCTATGATAAAAATTAAAGCATGCAATCAGATACCGCGGAATCCCAAAAGAGTGCCGAGTGAGTCAGCTATAGTGTTAGCCAAATCACTTAATGACATGGCAGATTGTTTGTCATAGTTACAGAATTGTTCCACGTGTAAATGCATGAAGTGCTTTCGCATCACCCCTTTCGAAGTACGACAAAATTTTGTGCCTAATTGATGGATTATTATACTGTTCTTGAGTTCCGCACAACGCTAGCGTAATAGATGCATAAACCAAAGAATGGATTTTACCATCATCGATATTTAGCCCGCACTGAAGGATAGACTTAAAAAGAAGGCTTCCATTGCTAGAAAGCAGGGAAAATGATACTAAAAATTTAGGTTAGAAGCCTTCGGAGACTGGTTTTCCTTTGTTTGATTCATGATGCAAAATGCAAATTTAGTACAAACTGCATAACATCCCTTTAGGTTGTAGGCCTTATGTCTGCTAGAACCTGGCCTGGACCAAGATATCTATCTTTTCCGAGAGTCCTATATTTCATTTTCACCGGTCATGGACATTGGAATTTCAGACATTATATGATTCCATACGTCTGTCATGTTCAACTAACAATTTACTAGAACTATTCAGGAAGGAAAAAGAAAAGAAAAGAAAAGAAAAAGAAACAAAGTAAGAAATTAAAGAAAAGGTACTATTTTTAGCACAGTTACTAATTAAAACCAATCACACATGACTATGGTAGAAGCACTACCATCTAGATTCGATTGAACCTAAACCAAATTTGCTTTCCATCCACGTATAAAGAAAAGACAGCCGCCCCATTAATGAATTTGAAATCTTGGGGGTGGCAATTGAAAAACCAAGTTATGGGGGTTGATACGAGCCCCATGATGAGCACCGGCATACAGATTTTGCCCCTGAAATTTTAGACCATTTGAAGATATCTCATATGGAGATGACTTAAACAAGTCTCCATGAGTTGAATCAAAGACCATAATTGACCCATCCTTTGATTCCTCCCAGTCAATCAACACTTTCTGCATTCCTGCTGGCTTTTGCTGCGATGAAAGCACATCAAATTGATCTGGTGAGGAAGGTTTGTCACCGTCTGATGGAGTAGCAGTATCTGCGAGATTGACAGTTGTAATGTCATGGATGCTTGGTCTTCTCTTATCCTTCACTCCCGAAAGCTGCTGCCTTATAAAATACTTCTGTGCATGGCTTGCTACTTGAGTTGGAGTCTTGGAGACTACAAAATTGCGAGAGATGTTCCTCCAGTCCCCTTTTCCATGCTCTAGAAGCCCCATCAGGAACCGCCTGTTGATCATCATGAAACGTTGCAAAAACAAGTTCAACGAGAAATTAATAAACGTAACTCGAAAAGAATTTGTTTTCTGTCACCTTCATTGCAAAACAGAAAAAAGCAGCCACTGACAACTATAAAGAAGATTCAATCTTGACATTTTCAACAACTAATCTCTCTCTGTTAGACAATCTTAGGCCTATTTCCAAATATTTAAAACTATAACAGAAATGGATTTAAAATAAAATAGTTCCTATCCTGGAAACAACCAAGTAACAAATTGGAACCGAGGCTAGAGAGAAAATGTAGCATAATCTAAAAATCCATTTTGTTGCCGAAAAACCAGTTGAATTGAAAAGTGCATGATAAAGGAAATAACAACTCTGCTGAATCTTTTTATAATCATTTCACTGTGTTTAGTTAATTATTTATTTTTGCTGTAACCTAAATGACTGGATGACTTGTTTCTTCAAAATTTACTGTTTCACGTAAGAAATTTCACTAGAGTGAAGTCATAACATAAAATAGAAGGGGACTCACCTGTGCTCATCTTCTGTCCATGGCACTCCTTTCTTTCTCTGCTGCTCGGTACTCTTGGCAGTCAAAGGCCTCTTCCTATACGCATCAAAATTGCTATCATCAACCAACTCAAATGTGAAAGATGAGCCGAGGTAACCTGGAACTGGAACCCTCCCTGCTTCTATATCACAAACATCCTCTTCCAGCTCCTTGTATTGCTTGATTACATCATAAACTGTCTTTCCAGGTATCATAGCTGCCACCTTTAGCCATCTATCAGGCTCATGCTCATCAAATATAGCCAAAGCTCTCTCAAACTCCTTGTTCTCCTCTCTAGTCCACTCTGTGGTTTGGGTAAACCAATTCGAATTCGGCATGTACCAAGATGAATACAGAGTTTCCATACCTATCAGCACTTAAACATGCAGCGATTGCTTACAGGTTCATCTTGAATTGAAAGTGAAAATGATTGAAATCAAGAAATATAGAGCAGGGAAGAGAGGAAGAAGGAAACAGAGAGTATATGGCGAAGATTGAGGTTTTTAAGTAAGTCTAATTTACTAAGAATCATATACAAGGAATCAAGAATCTGCTTTTCTTAACAGCACAAACTGAAGAATCTAAAAAAGACCAATCTTTCAAGAATCGAAGAGAATCCTGAAAAGACGAAAAAATATAATCTTATGCCCAGGAATTAGCCACGAGAGAGAAAAGCGAAACCACGGATGGAAAATTGAATTTGAAACAGAAAAGTTGACAGAAATCTTGAGGAAATGAATCTCAAAAGATTGATTTTATACCACACGGATTGCTATTATTAGCACGCAATTAAAGTGAAAGAAACAGTGAAAACCCATTGAAAAGAAACCAAACACGAAGAATCTAAGTGAAAGATTATCAAACAAAAAAGGAAAAAAAGATGATGATCAAGTCGACCAAGCAAGAGATAAAGAAAGATGCCCAAGAATCTGGCAGAGAGAAAAAGCGGGAAATTTTTTCTCTCTTGATTTCTTTGAAGAGAAAGAAAGGAAAGGGAAAGTTTATGTATTTATAGTAGGAGTTGATTACAAAAAGGCGGCTAGTTGAGCCAGAGATAATCAAAAGGGAGGAATCAAAACAAATTTCAGATTTTTTTTCTCTGCTTAACTGTTGATGCGTTCAAGGAAAAGAGAAGGAGACATGGAAAGTGGCAATTCGGTAATTGGAGTGGGGCACTTGTTGTAGTGACTCTCTTATTACTATATAACCTATATGTGGGCTAGATGATTAAAGATTCTCGTACTCTTTTGGTTTTTTAATGGGCAAAATTAGAGCTCTAATCTGATCTTAAAGGCTGTCTAGCGTATAAAGAACTTTTTCCTTTGTAAATTGAGAGATTTGAAGAGGATTTTCAAATCTTTTTCTAATTATGATTTTTGGAACCTTTTTTTTTTTTTTGGTAACTTGAAAACTGACGACCACTAAATTTTTTTGAACGATAATCACTAATCACAGGTATTTTTGGACAAAAAGTACAAAATGGATGCTATTATCCTTTATGGTGTGTGTGTGTATATATATAAACATTATTAGTATTAGAATGTCAAAATTGTAAAAGAACACACAGCCCCACGCAATTAAACAGAACACCTTTCCCACTCATTAACGTTTTTGGAAAAGAACATCTCCACACCAATTTAATGAAGAAAGTACACGAGTTTACAAGGAGAAAAAAAAACCAAATAAAAATGATAACTCTACATTATTTGATTGCCATACCTAATAAAAACAAATGGAATGCTAATTCAGCTCTTATTCAAGCCAGCTTGCACGTATTGAGATTGCCTGCTTTCATGGTCGGATCCTATGTCATTTGAATGTGATTACGTGATGATTTTGAGTTCTAAAAGAACATGTGGTATTGAAAAATATTTATAATATTTAGCTTAATCGGATAATAACAAGGCGCCTGTAGCTCAGTGGATAGAGCGTCTGTTTCCTAAGCAGAAAGTCATAGGTTCGACCCCTATCTGGCGCGATCGTTGACCTTTTAAGGACACTAAATTATCATTGCACGTGTTGTACCATCTGTTTGATTTACCCAACTTCTCTCTCTCTCATATCCATGGGCTCAAAAAAATAAAAAAAGAGAGAGAGAACTTGTCCCTTCCATGTAAAGCTCTAATGATATGGCAATCTTTACAAAGAAAATAATATAAAAAGCACCCCCCAGTTGGGATTGCCCCCGTTAGATTCCCTCCCAACTGTTGTAACAGTTACAAGCATGAACGTAGCTTCAAATGGAATCAAAGTGTGTTAAACAAGTTCCGCCCGAAAGCAAATGATAAACATGACTAATTTTTACAGCTTTATTCACTCTTTCTCACGAACACCTTCTTTTTGCTAGCTACATAAAACAATAAATTAAAATGGAACCCAATCCTCTCCTGTTTATTAACTGTTGTCAAATCTTTGTTTGAGCAGTTCGGCCCTGATTTTTAGACTACACTGTACTCATCTCTCCAATCCCTAATACCAAATTTTCGGCTTTAAAGCCTCTTCAAGTTTCTAGCACTTTGGAAGGTCACTAGGAGGCGGTAGTAGTGACTCATTTGGGCCGTTACCATTGTCCACCACAAATGCCATCTTTAGTCCCCATGTTGTGTGTACTTCCAAATGGCAATGCAAAAACCATACACCTACAAGCCACCCCGAATTTGTCAAAATACTGGATAACTATAGGAACACACTTCATCAATCAATTCATTGTTCATATATGTAAGCTACGGTTAAAAACAATTCAATGAGACAATCATTCCTAGCTAATTAATGACAAAGGTTTTTACATTGTTTCATATTTTTAGTCCCTTTCTTTTTTTGCCTTACAAAATTGGGGGAAAAAAGAAAGAGAAGGAAAAAGAAATTAAATTGGAAAGTACTATAAGAGGAAAAAAGGGAAAAGAGATCGTAGATTTACCTGGATTATCTGCCCTGAATCTGATTGCGGTCCATCCGGCAGTAGGTACACTGATTGTGTTCCTTTCAACCGGATCAGCCAGATTAAATTTCTTTGGATCATTATCTGGATCAAAATTCCCCAGTCCCTTGCCAACAACAAAGAAATTAAATCCATGAAGATGAAATGGATGACTCTCAGGTGCTATTATAGTGGTTCCTTGCAGCACAAGTTGAACTGTAGAATTAAAAGCCAACCTATAAGTTCTAGTCCCATTTGTGGTCTGCAGATTAATTGCCGTATTATTTCCCGTATAATTAAAAGGAATTAGTGGCTTTGCTGGAAAATCCTCTGTGAAAACCCCACTTATGTTATAGTAGTGTGCTTGAAGTAGAGGGGTAGTTGGCATTATAAAAGAAACATTATTAACAGCTCCCACCGGCTTGCTTCCATTAGTACATGTTGCACAAGGGTCAATACCGACACCGATAGTGAAGTATAGAGAATGGTCTACTGTTAATGGAACATTGGCTGGGTACTTCTTTGAATTCAGGCTTCGAAGATTGTCTTTGAAATTTTCTGCTACCGGAGTTGCGTTAATAGCAGGAGTAGTGGTAAGGACTGGTTGGGAAAATGCAAGGGTTCCCTTATAGCGCAAGAAAGCGATTGCAGTCACATTATCGACAGCAACTACAGTATCCATGAAGGGAGAGACAGCTATTAAATACTTGCCCACACTTTTACCTGTAGTTAGCAGGGCATTTGTGGTTTGACCTGGACCAATAAATATTGTGTCTGTGCTAAAGGGCTTAGTGTAACCTGAATCCACTTCAACAACTGTTATATTATGCCCTGCAATCTTGAAGAAGAGCTCATCGTTTAAAGCTGCATTGATGATGCGTAGCAAGTAGGTCTTGCCACTTTCAACATGTAATGTGAAACCTGCGCACAAAATAGAATATCAAAGATCTATATTGTCAGTCCTAAATTTTCCTCATGGCACCAAAAAACGTGGCAATAAAACAATTTAGTAAGTACATGAGACCAAGTTTTTTTTTTTTTTTTTTTTTTTAAAGTTGCAAACTCATACATAATATGAATTTGTTATCAGAATCATTAAAAAGGGTCATTACCTGGAGAAGGGCAGCCAGGAACTGCCCCCGTTTGGCCATTAACTGTGTGTGCATCTGATATATTTGGAGCCAAGCCAGTTTGTATTGCTTGTTTGACCACAGCTTCAACATCTGCTTTCCACCAGTCACCTATATAATTAACAAAATCAATTACCATTACTTAACTTAATTGTCGACCGAGAGACTTTATAGGACAACCAAAGAATGAGCCTAAAATCAATAGAACTGCAGTGAAAAAAAAAAAAAAACCGAACTTGGACTGGTACTCACCCAATATGATGATCTTTTCCTTGTCAGGTTTTGGAAATGGATAAGGAACGCCTTTCTTAGGGAAGATGACAATGGCACCATGTAATGTTGCCCTTAACCATGAAATATGTGCATGCCAGAGAAGAGTGCCTCTCTGACCTGTAACAGTAAAATTGTAGAGATAGCTGTGCCCAGGCTGTATAGGACACTGTGTAATGTATGCTGGCCCATCGGCCCAGCCCGTACGCAACTGCCTCACTCCATGCCTGCCAAAATAAAAATTAAGGTCCAATTAATCATTAAGTCATCCCGATAAGTACGCTTTAATGCGATTTTCAAAAACCATTTTTAAGACCACAGATGCAGTTTATGGTTCTCACCAATGGACGGTAACATTGTATTGGACGTGGTTGGTGAGCCTTACATTGACGTTATCTCCTTCCCTTACATGAAGTGTGGGTCCCGGAAACTTTCCATTGATGGTGACAATGGACTTGGTTGAACAAAGCTTTGTTGTGTTCTTCAGGACTACCTGCTCACAGCAGCCAAGATAAAAAGTGATTTTTACCGTGAAGTTCTCAACTTTATAACCTAAAGAAACTTGCAATCTTTGCAAAGTAGAAATCCATTGAAGGGGATAAAAAGAGAAGGAAAATGAACTTGGTATTAAAATGGCATACTACTCTAAGAATCCGTATTGCAACCACGTCAAACTTGCTTGAGTTTTTTATTTGCTATCCATTGATTTTTAATCCAGATTGGTGTGTGAGAAATTATTACATGCAATTACTTATATGAATCAAACCAATCAAATTATAAGAATTAATTTTAATAGCCAATATAATTTATATGGGAATTCACCATCTAATTAGAAAGTTTTATTTTGTAATCCAATTTATTTTATAATTACGACTATTGCACAATACAATAACAAGTTGAGATAGTTACGTTTGTTTTGGACCAGAAGAGCCTCATTTGATTAAGTTTCGATACCGTCACACACTCACACTAAAAGAAATTCTGACATTTGATGCTCAGATATAGCAAGGTTTCTCAATGTTTTGTTTGGACTAGTGCTTGATTTTTTTGGGCCTTTAACCCTTTTTCTTAGGAAAAAAAAAATTATCTTTTTTGGTCACAGATGAAACATCAAGCATGACCTTCTCTTCGTTAATTGTTAAAATATGCAATGACAGCCCTTTTCAACTGGTAGAAGTCAACTACTGCCAAAATGTAGCAGAGAATGAAAACTTACCCTGAAATGATAAAGACGGACCTTGCACTCTATCAATGCCGGAAAAATGAAAATCACTAGCAGCATTAACGTCCGAGCCCGATAGTACTCCATCCTCTCTCTCTCACTCTCTTTCTGTCTTGTTTCTTTGAATTGTTACCTTTTGAGAAACACAAATGTATGACCGACCACCTTAAGTTTTATAGAAGAGAACAAACCTTTGATGCAATGTCATTTTACCTAGTTAGGTGAATGAAAAAGGCCCGCCATGAAAATTTTTCAGGTTTTCTTGCATGTTACACAATGCTGGCCCACACATCTGGAAGTCCTTGCGATTAATGTCAAATGATTGAAACCATTTGTGTTTTGAAACATATTGCCCAACTAAACTAAACTCTCTCTCTGTCTCTGTCGAGGTCGAAGATACGCTTTTAAAGAAATAATCAACATAAATATTCTTGATTATTTCCTTATCAGTGAAAGAAAGAAATCAAAATATTATTGAACCATTCAACACAATCAGAAAATTATCTTAATCATTTAATCAAAATACATAATTAAGCATTTTGTATAATTTATTTTATTTTAGAATATTCTTATTTATCTCGTTGTGTGTTTATATAAAACTTTATATTAATTAACTATAATTTATTCAGTTATCAACAATATTCTCTTCTACACGTAAATATACTCTATTGTGAAATACAATGAAAGGAAGAGATAATTAATTATGACAATTAATGTTGCGTATTCAAATTGTAGGAGCTCTTCCACCTGCTGCTTCCTTAGTCTTTGTGCTCGCTAATTCATGTGCTGCTACTCCAAGTATGGATAATTGGTCCAAAACTAGACAGAGGAAAAGATTTAATTTTTATATGCAAAAGATATTCGAGAACATACATATATTATTCGTACATATATAACATCATATGAACCCATTACATATATTTATTTATTGATAACTTAACTTAATCAGAAAAAGGACAGCAGGACTATGTACTCTTCCAGAAGAGTATAAAAGCACAGGAGATGGCGAAAGAGTATAAAAGCTAGCACAGGAGATGGCAATTGTGGCGGTGGGTAATGGTCCATGAATGTATGAAAATTCTAAACAAAATACATATTTTATAGTTGAGAAATGGCTTTCAAGAATCAAAATGCTTAAAGAAAGGCATTAGCTATGGGTTTGTAGTTTTACAGCTCAACCTGCCTATCAATTTCCAAGTCCTGCATCTATATGTCAAACCCCACATTTTCTTTCTTTCTTTTTTTGTTCTTTTTTCATTAGGCCAGTTCTTTACGTCCTTTTCACTTCTTGATAAGTTTTTTAACTTTGCAAAGATTAATTCCTAGCAACTCAAAACAGGTAGAGATCGAACACCCCAGAAGCAAATTAGAAATTAACAATAAATATGATAAGGAATTTTGTTGGTGTGAAGTCTTAGTTCACTCCATTTTCATCATCACTGCAGTTAAATGTACAGAATGAGAAGCTTACATATACCTGCCAAATTCCAATTGACTAAAACAATTGTACTGTGATTGTGAGCTTTCGAAAAATAGTGACTTTTAACAATGTTTCAATGGTCATACTGTGATTATGACACGTTAACCATGGTATTTGCATTCGTTTTTGTATATTTTAATTTACCTATTGGACTTTATGTCTTTGGACCTTGAAGGGTGGCTTCACAGGCTAAAAATCATACAAGCAGCAACGATAAGATTGGCTTTCTATGATCCACCAACTTTTGGTCAGATCCAAGCTTGCCTCATTTGGGTGGCCCATAAACTAGCCCAATTTATATATAAGGCCCCTAACTCCGATTTTGTGATTTAAGAGGCTAGCCCAGCGAGAAAACTTGCGAAAGTAGGTAATTTTCGTAGTTTTTTAAAAAAAAAAAAAAAAAAAAAAAAAAAAAAAACACTAAATTTAGGCGACGTTTCTAACTATGTTGAACATAGTACGAAAATATTTAAGAGCACCATAAAATTCTGTAGAAACTAGCCAAAAAAGAAAATAAATGAGTGTCTGGAAAGTTGAAGATCAGAAAAATATTGGTCATTAATATGCACCGGTTGAATTTAGCAATTCTGGTTCTGTGGTCCAATATTTTAATAATAGAGGCAACCACCAACTGATCCCAGTTGGTCAAAATGTATAGAAACCCTCCGAAATTGCACGCTTCCTAAGCAAAAATATGTACTCCTTGAGCCATCCTTGTCCAGTATTATTTTATGTAATTTGAAGATTAATGCAAAGACAAAAATAAAAATAAATAAATGAGGAGCCAATACCCTTTCCACAAGACTACTTTCTAGTAGAACGTAAGAGATGGGGATGCTGAATTCGTCGTGGTAGGTAATGATCATAAAATACCGAAATTTTAATGCCAATGATATAACCTTGAATCTCTTCTTTTCAAAGAGACAGGTAGAAATGATGAAATATCTTTCGTTTTCCATTGGAATTTACTCCAAACATTTTGGCAAACCAATACTGCACTTTGTTGGATGGCCTAATAGTACAATACCCACAATACTAGTTAAACTCCTGTTGATGAAGCTTTTAAAGCACCTTCAATCCTATTAATGCCAGATTTATACAGAAATCCAAGATAATCTATTATGCTATCCTCAGATGCACCTTCCAAAGGGTCTATCTGAAATGACCAGTTAACTAGTGTGGAATCATCCCCATAATCAACAAGTTTTAATGTATTTATTGATCCATCTAAACCAACATTGCTGGCTTCCATTTTGTAAACGTAGCTGTGTGATGTAGAATCCATAGAAACCAACCTTTCCTTAATCCATGACCTGTCACCATCTAGTTGGGGGAACATGAATCCTGATACTAATCGAACATAACCTGGAACGCCTTCTTCTCCAGCTAAGTCAGTGCATCTTTCAACCATTGGCATCCATGCTGCTAGTTTCTTGGTTTGAGAAACCATGGTCCAGACTTTGTCTACAGATGCATCAACTATGCCTCCAACTGATCCGCTCCATTTCACCACTTCTGCTTCGACCTCCTGTATGAAAGATAACTGCTACGATTAGAACAAAAAGAAGTTCCAAAGCACAAGCAATCAATGCATAAACAAAAAGAACTTGTCCATCCCAGTGTTACATGCTGGTTTAAATTTCAAGATCATAGAACGTAAAGAGCAGGATGCATACCCTTTTCATCAGTTCTCAACGAATTGTATCAGCAAAATCGTTACCTTGCAAACAATCAAATTTTTAGGTTCGCCTTTAACATAGTGGGAAATCTTGCTCCGGATGTTCCTAGGATTGTGATCATCTTGAGCTGGCAGATAGAATATGTTTAGTATAAGAAGGGAGCCATAGGATGTTATGAAGAATCCTAAGAAGTAGGATCCGAAGAAAAGACTGGCATGGTCTGAGAATTAAGACAAAGGAAGAGAGATAATTCCAAGACCAACCATCTTTATTGCCGCTCAAGTGACAGTACTATTGCACTGTATAATTACGCATTGTACCAGTCAGAGACTTCTAAGACAACAGACACTCAAAAATCTTGCCGCTGAACTTAACGAAATTCCTAACAGGTCTTCAATAAACATTACTCGTAGAGCTGAAACCATGAATGTAATTTTTTCCCTAGCAACAGCAGAAACTTCAACAAAACCCGGTACAAATTTATGATCATCTAACACTAAAACATAATTATATGTGGTTCCCCATGAAGTTTAGTTCTATACACAGTCAATCACACATATCAGAGAAGAAAACATGCCAAGCAAAGAATAGTCATCATTCCTGCTTAATTTTCATGTTCACACAAAACTAATCATTTAATTATAGAAATCTCCGATATTTGAATGTTCCACGCACTATTGCACAAATCCGTATACAAGATAGCTTAAATTTGGGTCAAAACAAAGAGAAGGAAGGCATGAGAAGTTAGCACTTTCGCTTAAGCAGCAGCTCCTACAGGAACACCCTCAGCCTTGAGCCTCGATTTCCCATATAGGGTTTCTTCAAACCGGATAATCTCATTCTTGGAGCCGTATGCAACTTGAGTTCTATCATCAAGATTTATGATTTCCTTGTCTAGCACAGACTGATGACCATCACTGCTGTAACCCCCAGCCTTTTCAACCAATAAACCCAAAGGTGCAACCTCAAATAACAATCTCAGCTTGGCTTTGGAAGATGGTGAAATCACATTTGTGAAGATACCCTTCTCTTTAACAATAAGCTGACGATGATGGATAATAAACTCCTTTTAGACATCTTTGAAACCAGCCAACGAATAAAAAATATGGGAGTAACGTTTGATGGGAAAAGTTATAATCACCTGGTTGACATCTGGCACCATTCCTCCTGTGTATCTCAAGGTGTACTTCTCTTTTACGTAGTAGTTGATCAGCTGTTGGGTGAGAAATAAAGGCATTTGATAAGAGACGAACGGCTTATGGTTTACAAATAATGATAATTAGCGGAACATCTGAATTCATTAGAATAGGAGAAGGTAAAATGAAAACCTTGGCATAGTCAGGGTTGTCAGATGTGGCTCTCAAATTTCCAGGGGAGAAAAGTTTCCCTTCACTAATCTCTGTTGTCTCTTTGACATGTTGCCACTTTCCTGGAAAAAGGAACGAACTGATTCTTTTCAGAGATAAGTGTGTAGATTTAGGCACTCAATAACTGTTGTGAAACCTGATTTCTATGCTGTATAGAGCAGAACAACTGAAGGCCAAGAGGGGACAACAACTTCGGGACTAAATATGAGATGATCATAACAGTAATAAGAATTTGCCTCTTGATTAGGTTGAATATCTGACCATAATATTGAAGCCACACCTTCGTCAAGAAGAAGAAACTCGTGGGTGCCAGGGTAGTCTTTAAGAGTAAGAACGTATGTAGTACGAGGACCATAAACCCCCATGGCTGCAGCAACTTGATCTCTCCCTTTTACCCCAGTTAACTTGTCTCCTGGCCACACTCCAAAAATGGTACCCACAGAGAAATTTGTGTCGACAATACTGGAGCCATCAAGCGGATCAAAAGCAACGCTGAATCCACCTGTGTATGTCATGATAATCATATAAGATTATTTTCCTTAGAGAGTGTAAAAGTAATATGTTGATTTCTGTTCCAAAATGTCGTTCTTTAGACAGGCTTTGAACATGCAGACCTTCAGTTGGGCCTCCCATGTCTTGCAGTTCAGGGACTTCTTCAGAGCAAGCATATTTGCAGAAGTGAGAGTAAGTCAAGGCCTGTGTATCACAACCAAGAGACGCTATTTCTCAATTTCAATGCAGATCATTCTAAGAACAAAAACATATTCAAAGGAGAATTCAGCGATAATTTGTCTCTATGTGTACATGATATGAACTCCTTATTTCAGATTTTGGTAGAGCATTAAAATCAATGATGTGTTCAAAAGGTGATCACCAAATTGATATTAAAATGCAAAAGCTTGACATTGCGTATCCATTTAAGACATTTTTCAATGATAAAGGTTTCACTCATGTATCCAGCATTTGAACCTGCTTTATATGGAAAAATATTTCTCACTTGCTCTGAAAATAATTTTTAAAAAAGAAATCTGAACCAGTAACTAAGCTGTCTAGAATTATTTATCAATAGCCCATCATAATTTCTCAAACACGCTGAAGAAAGCTTAAAATAGTGATAAATCATGTGTTCAAATCAAACCTCAAAAAGAAGCTTGTCGGCAAGCATATCTACAGCAAGCTGCTCATCTCCAAAAGAGTTCACACAAGCTGTTCCACCACAAGAAGCTGTCCTGACCTTGAAGGAAATGGTCCTTAACGCCTCTCCCATGCACATCATCACCCTAATAAGCCCCTTATCTGGAGTTGCCTTTGAAATGAATTCTTCCTTCAGTCAAAAAGAAAAGGAGCTTTAGTTATTATAAGGCAATGACTAATAATACTATATGAAACCAAATAAAAAAAAAAAAAATACTTGTTCTTTATGTCACTTACCAGGCTATCACCAATCTCACATCTGGTCACAAGGGAAGAGTTCTTTGCCTTGGAAACCTGTAGTGATGATCTTGGTACGAAGCGCAATGACTCCCCAAATAGTGAGCTTGATTTCAGACTCTGTCATGCATTTTACACATCCTTTTACAGCTTATAATTTTGCGTATATATGCATGCAAATATATACTTATTCATGTAAAGCTCTCATTTCTGTATCTACAAGTCTTACCAGGCAATACTGAAACATCCATGGTATTAATATATGGAAAACCAGATATTGAAATGACAATACGCAAGCGATATACAGGTGTTAAAACATACCCTGGAGCCAATGGAAGATTGTGGAGACACTAGGGCTTTTGAATGCGGAGAAGAGACATAAGGTAAATAAGCCCCACGAGCACAGCATGCTATGCCAGTCTCCATGTTAGCTGGAAGTTCAAGTTTCCAGGAAAAACAGAAAAGGAGTGCAAAAGCTTTGTTTTTCTTGCAGTGCTAGTTGCTCTTGGTAGCAGAACGTTTCAGTTTTCGGCTTGGAACCTTGGAATGGAGCAAGATAGTAGATAAGCAGTTAACTGCGTAATGCCACGTGGATAGTGCTAAGTAGATAGGATGATCAAGTGACATTTGGGTCAGGTTAATTACAATCTTTCAAATATATGTGGTTCTGCTCTTGTTAAAGAGATATGGTACAACCGTATAGCAAACCCCACGTTTTTGTTGTCTTATGCTTTAACGGCCTACGGTCTGCATTACGTATTCGAGGTATGTAGTTTGTTGCAGCAAGATAGGAATACCACAATCTCCATGCTGTATTGAATACAGTGCCACTAAATTTTCACATTGGTAGCCGATTCGCCAGCTTCGTACCGTATTTCTATAGAAATTTGAACAGGACAGATAATAATTTATCATGTTTAATGAGAATCTGACATAATATATCGAGGTACGGCAAAATTTTCTATAGACTTTTGCAGGATTTCTGTTGTACCTCCAAAAGTAACCAAGAAATCTTGTTTGGAAATAAAAATTCCCAGGTCTCTCTGATATTATTGTTTTATTCACTAATTCATCCTTGGAAATTGGAAGTGGGTATGTGTCAGCCAAATTAGGTTCCACTCCAAAAATTGTCCGCTTAAAGATCTATTATTCCCTGCAGAGAAAACTGGGTCAAAGATGAGGAAACGGTAAAATTTGGCCACATAGTTTGATCATAAGGTTAATAAGATAAAAATTAACCACAAAATTTCCACCCTCAAGTTTTCTCAAAAGGCTTACAAGACGTGATTGTTTTTAATACCAATTTTACAATATTCAAGCGGTAAATGTAATTACTCTCTCTCTTCCCCTGTCAAAACATCTTTTGAATCATATTCTACCCGGTAAGAACTGAAGTAGGACTATGCATATCTGATTCTGTGGTACAGCAATATGATAGATGGTAACCCTGTTCTTGAACAACTTTCCATCGTCAACTTATAAATTTGTCACCCCATTTATCAAATTGATAGTAATAGACACGGTCTTGCCCAATTCAATAGCTGCTCCCACATAGGTATGGGGTGTCAACTCCAAAAGATAATCCTTTGCTTCTTCCGGTAATTCCAAGCCTTCAATGAACTCCTTTATGCTATCTTTGGTAACTGCTCTTCCCCTGGTTAGCTCTTTCAGCTTCTCATATGGCTCTGGAACACCATATCGGCGCATCACCTGTACATAAACAGTCATCCATAAAGATGAGAGATGTTTTAGAAATGTAATGTGGACTGAAAAAGAACAAACAGTATTGAAGTTCTAAAACTTTGAGCTTAGATAGAAAAGACTCAAGATGCATTGATCTAAAGAATCATTGAGTAATGATGTCTTGATTACAAAGGAGACTAGAAAATTAAAGATCAAATAAAAGGAAAGGTACGTACAGTCTGAATTGGTTCAGCAAGAACCTCCCATGATTGGTTCAAGTCTTCACTCAAGCGAGTTCCATTAACCTAAAGGAAAAATTTAGTTCAGTCAGAACAAAAGCTGAATGTAGAAGCAATTAAAGCATTCTCCAGCAATCATGATTTCTTATTCAGTTAAACCTCAATTGAGGTTTCGTTAATAATAATAATAATTAAAAAAAAAAAAAACTTAGTTCTACAACACAAATGGAGCACAAAATAGCTACTTTGCATGCACCTCATAGGAGAGAAGGTGCATTACATCTATGTTATATCACATACCTGAAGCTTTGCTATTCCCTGCAATGCACTTTTGTAGGCAAGAAGAGAATGTCCTAAGCCTTCACCCATATTCCTCAGAACAGTTGAATCAGTCAAGTCACGCTGCAAATAGAATACATTGCAACAAAACTATTACTCTCAAGACACAAAAGATCCCCACTAGATAACTACCTAAATACCTGTGGCTTATATATAGATGCATAAAATTAGAGCAGCTATGTAATTACTACTCAAGACCAAACTTATGCAGGAATAAAACAAAATTACAGAATTTGAAAGCATAAGACACTTTCTAACTTCTAGGTCTGAGGTAATGTACAGGAATGACTTCAGAAGATCCATATAGGTGGGATTTCAACACAATCCTTTAACTTGGTATACCATAGGAACTAGAAGCAACAACTCAATACCAAAGACAAGTAACTGAATAATGAAATGAAAGTGGGCTGCCTTACCTGCCAGCGTGAAATTGGCAGCTTCTCACTGAGATGAGATAAACTTCCATTGGCTTTACCAAGATTGCCTTCACTGTTTTCAAAATCAATTGGATTTACTTTGTGAGGCATAGTGGAAGACCCAATCTCACCAGCCTTGGTTGTCTGTTTAAAAATTTTGACAAATTACTTTTCTAGTATGAGGATAACTGCTTCAAAAGTTCAGTGTCAATCCAACACCAGAACATTCACCTGCTTAAAGTATGCTAAGGATATATAGCCCCATATATCTCTATCAAAATCAATCAATATAGAGTTAAAAACAATGATTGCATGAAAAAGTCTTGCCATGTAGTCATGTGGCTCAATCTGCAAAGCAAGCACAAAGCAACTTAGTCAGTGGGAGGACCAGATACATTGCTATAAACATGGGACAAAAATATCAAGAGAGAAAAGGAAAAAAAAGCTAAAGGAGAAGAAGATGTACTAGCAGGACCTTCGTCATGTATCCCTTCAATACAGAGTTCCTATGTAACTACTACCAAATTTAGATTGACAATTAATGGAAAAAGTATACCCTCCAAGCTCCAATTCCTCCAAGTGCCTATATTTAAGCACTAATGTGGGCAGTGAAGCAATTGAGCTAGTTGTAGATGATGTTTCGAATGAATTCAAAAGAAATTATGAACTAGTTGGCTAGCTCTTAAAGGGGAACCAGAGCAGGATTGAGAAGATCTTATAAGTAAAAGTATAAGCATAAAAATTATACCTGAGTAACAAAGGGGTTAAAACACAAGCCAAGAGTTTCCACAAACTCTTTTGCAATTTGAGGCCAATTAACACTAGGATATGCTGAAAAATGGGCATTGTAGTTTCCAACAGCACCAGCAAACTTCCCCTTTATCTTAACTTGAGAAATTTCGTGCCTTTGTTCACTTAGCCTGGCAGCAAAAACTGCCATTTCCTTTCCCAAAGTTGTTGGTGAAGCTGGCTACAGATAATGAATAAACAAGTCTTAAAAGTAAGCTATATTTATAGATGTCCAACCAATCATAAACAAACAGCAATTTTTTGACAGCAAGGATAAGAACAAAATTGATAAAATCAGCCATGATGTGATGGACTCTTTAAAATAGTTTTGTAAATCAAAGCATATTATTGCATGCTAGAGATAGTTATATCACCTGTCCATGAGTGCGAGAAAGCATCGGAGTGGAAGCATTATCTTCAGCCAATTTACATATGGCTTTGATCAATTTATCCATGACAGGAAATACTACCACATTCATTGCATCTTTCAGCATCAATGCATGGGCAAGATTATTGATGTCCTCGGATGTGCAAGCAAAATGGAAAAACTCAAGCACCTGAGGTAAATTATCAAGAGGAAATGACATTATTAGGTAATCACAGAAATTCGAACAAGGTAGCAAGCTATCTCTGGCATGTAAGGTAGGATTTGTAACCTTGGCAACCTCCGGATGCGATTGGCATTTCTTTTTCAAGAAATACTCGACTGCTTTCACATCATGGTTAGTCACTTTCTCAATGTTCTTAACTTCCAATGCGTCATCCATGCTAAATCCATCAATTAACCCTTCCAAATAAGCCTTAGCCTCCTCACTAAAGTTCGGGACCTCGATAATTTCAGGAATTTGTGAAAGTTTTATCAACCATTTAATCTGAGAAAGAATACTTAAATTAAAACTCAAATCCTTCACAAATTACGAAAATTACAAGTAATAGTAAAATTATAATTTCTAGAAAAAAAATCAATTATAAAATTTGAAATTAAACATTAAGAAGAATGTAACAGATTAAGGAGAAACAAAAGGTACCTCAACGAGAACACGATAATAAATGAGACCGTATTCACTCATATGAGGAGACAAATCCTTGACTTTATTCCAGTAACGACCGTCCAAAGGAGATAATGCTGTCAAATTTGATAGCTCAAAATCACGACCGCCGTTTCCAGCCATCTTCAACAACAACAAATAGCAAACCAAAACAATTTTACATGAATTTAGGAACATTTTTCCAAGCAATATATAAAATCGAATAAAAATTATGGGAGAAGATAATACCACCTTAGGTGTAGCGATACTAGCGGCGGCGGCTTTGTCTTTGAGGGTGGATTTGCAGGACAAGTCTCTGGAAGAAAACGATGTCGTTGAGACGTGAATAAAAGCATTTGAAGATGGATTGAAGAGGCTGCTGGGATTTTGGTTTGGTGGAGTTGATAAGATGGAGAATTGGTGGGTTCTATTAAAAACCCTAGAAGAAGAAGAAGCAGCAAACTCCATTAACAAATGCTAAGAGTTCGAGCTCAAGCCTGTGTGGTTTGGTGCTTCGCGGTCTTTTTCCTTTTTTCGGCGTCGGCTTGGAGCTGCTATAATTAACTTAACCCTACTCCTCTCGTCTTGAGATTTTTTGGTTTATCGTTTCTTGAATTTGAGGTTTCTGCGTCTGGGACTGGCGCCTCTGGCCTCTGGGTTTGGTTTATAATTGGACTGTAAGCGCTTATACTGTATTTATATTAAGATTTTTCTTTATAATAAAAAGATTTAATACAAATTTAATCTTCAATATTCTCTTTATCACAATTTCTATCTTTAAAATTAAAATATAAAATATATTTAGCTATTCAATATTAAAGAATCCATGAAAATTACTATTTTCTATGTCAATCACCTTCTTCATCAATAGTCTCTCTAAATTTTATGGATTTTGTCAAAATAAATAATTAAAACAGAGAGAAGCATTGAACAAGATATCGATCTTCAATCTATATAATTAATGATGCTCTCTATTTACATTAAAAATATTAACTAAAAATAAAAAACATCATTGAAGATGCTCTAAGGTGAGCAAAATTAAGTATGTCTCTCTCCTTTCACTTAAATTTAATGCATTTAGAGTTGATAAAAAAGTGTTTTTTTTTTTTTTGCTAAACTTGGTTGAAACAAAATTTCAAGATAAATCTACAGGAAAATATGGATCGTAGAAATATACATTTTCTATCAATTAACGGCTTAAATTGATAGTTCATTAAAAACAATATATATAATTTTCTTTAAGGTTAAAATCAAGAGTCACGGTATTTTTTTACTGGAACAAATATAACTATCTAACTACTAACATAGTGCCTCACTTGATTAAATAACCAACATAAATTATTATAATAAAAATAAATAAAAAGATCTGGATGTTCCATTGTTTGTTCGTTACAGCAGTTTTTTTTTTTTTTTTGAAGGGTTGGACTGCTGGTAATTGAGGAAAAAAAAAGGTTTGGTTTTTGGTTTCTACTATGCATTCATTGTAGCTTTTTTTTTTGTTTTTTTCTGAGTTGGACTGCTGGCAATTAAAAAAATAAAGGAGTGTTGGTTTTCGGTTTCTATATGCTCTCAGATGGCAATTGTTTTCCCTCTATATGAATAATTTATTTTTTTATTTTTTTATTATGAAATTAAGTATGAAAATATAAAAGAAAATTGTTATTTTTTTTAGTTTTATATACAGTTTGAAGATTATAAAATATATGAGATATTTTTAAGATTTTAGTTTGAATATATATATATATATATATATATATATATATATATATATATATATATATATGATTATATTATTTTTATTATTTAAAATTTATTTCTTTAATTGTTTGTTTCTTATTAAAATTCTCATTGAGTTAATTTTTTAATTTTATATAATTTTATTTGTTAATGAATTTGATTTTTTTTTATATATGGCTTTTGAAATAAAATTTTAGAACATGATTGTTTTATTTTTTAAAATATATTATTATAATTTATACAATTTATTATTTTTATGATTTTTAAATGAGAATAGCATAGTTGCATATATAAATGTCGATGAAACGAGAGAGAGAGCTAAAAGTGTTTAAGATAATTTGATTTAGTTTTTTTAAAAAAATTAATAATTATTTAAAAAAATCATAAGTTTTATTTGGTATATATATATATATATATATATATATATATATATATATATATATATATATTATCATAAGTTATCGAAACCAATTTTATAGTAGTTTTTATTTAAATCTATTCACTTCGATATTTTTCATGCAATTTAAGTGAGTTTTTTTATATATTTTTTATTTATTTTATAGACTCGAATCTACTAAGTACGATACACACACGCACACGTGTGTGTGTGTGTGTAGTTTTGTCATATGTAAATTCGATGATGGAGAAAGAGAGAGCTAATAATGTGTTTTAGATAATTTAGCTTGATTTTTTAAAAAAATAATAATCAATTTAAAAAATAATTTGGCTTAGTGTTTTTTTTTTAAATTAATAATTAGTTAAAAAATTCACAAGTTTTATTTGGTTACGCATGCACACACACACACACACACACATATGTGTGTGTGTACATGTATATACATATGTATATGTATAATCGAATTTATCGAAACTAATTTTATAGTAGTTTTTATTTAAATCTATTTATTTTGATATATTTCATGCGTATATATATATATATATATATAGTTTTTTTATAAATTAATTATATATACACACGTAACATCAATTATTTGTTATTTTTTTTTTTCATGTTCTAAACTTTGTGTAATAAAATGATTTAATTAATGTCTTAAAAGAACCCCTTAATTATTCAAACACCGGGTTTTATACTAATATTATAAATTATTTTATTAATAAAAATATATAAATTAAATAAGTTTGCTCAATATATATATTTGATTTATATTTATCTCTAGAAACAAAAGATCTACTCGCATCACACTAATCGTAATCCCGTGTATATAATGGTTGCCCGACGACATTGTAGTACGGGTATCTAACTAATCTATACTAAATTAGTAGGTGAATTAATAAAAATACAATGAAGTAACACCACAACATTATAGTGTTGTTAACAATGCCATTGGATTTTCGTTTTTGTAGATTAAGATATGCTAACCACGAAGTGGTAATTCATTGATAAATAAGCGTTGGTTTGTAGGTCATGTCAAAAATTCGATTTTTTATAACAAACACTTCTGAAAAATTATTTTCAGTATACTCAAAGTGGCGTATTGAAGAGTGTCATTTAACACGTTAAGAAATAAATTAATTTAAAAATGTGTAAAAGCCGATCAAAAAACATCCTTACCCCCGGAGAGAGAGAGAGAGAGAGAGAAAGGGGAAAAAAAGAGCTAAGGAGTAACTAATTGCATTTACATATGTGTATATATATGTATATGTATATACACATGTCTATGTATAATCGAATTTATCGAAACCAATTTTATAGTAGTTTTTATTTAAATCTATTTATTTTGATGTATTTCATGCGATTTAAGTGGATTTTCTATATGTTGTTTTTTTATTTTACATACTACGAATTTGCTAAGTAGTGTATATACATATACATACATACATACATACATACATACATATACATATATATATATATATATATATATATATATATATATATATATATAGTTTTGTTAGAAATTAATTATATATGCACACATAATATCAATTTTTTATTTTTTATTTTTTTCGTGTTCTAAAATTTGTGTAATAAAATAATTTAATTAATGTCTTAAAAAAACATCTTAATTATTCAAATACAAGATTTTATACTAATATTATAAATTATTTTGTTAATAAAAATATATAAATCAAATAAGTTCGTTCAATATACGGATTCGATTTACATTAATCTCTAGAAACAAAACATCTACTCGCATCACACTAATCATTAATCTTATGTACATAATGATTGTTTGATAGCATCGTAGTACGAGTATCTAACTAGTCTATACCAAATTAGTAGGTGAATTAATAAAAATACAATGAAGTAACACCATAACATTATGGTGTCGTTAACAATGCCATTGGATTTTCGTTTTTGTAGATTAAGATATGCTAACCACAAAGTGGTAATTCATTGATAAATAAGTGTTGATTTGTAGGTCATGTCAAAAGTTCGATTTTTTATAACTAGCACTTTTGAAAATTTATTTTCAGTATACTCAAAGTGGTGTATTGGAGAGTGTCCTTTAACACGTCAAGGAAGAAATTAATTTCAAAATGTGCAAAAACTGATCGGAAAACATCCTTATCCTTGGAGAGAGAGAGGGGGGGGGAAGCTAAAGAGTAATTAGTTGCATGTACTATAGCTTATTTCACGAATCCATTTAAATGAGAGAGATAGACACATAAAATTATATCCGGACCCACCAAAAATGATAAGAAGATTTTCACATTATCTTAATTTTTTAAAAATTTTCTCTCTTTTATTTTTTTCTTTTTTTTTGTATCTATTTTTTTTTAAATGAATCCATATAATAATTATTTTTAGCATTATAAAATTTCTATTAAAGTTGGATAACAAGGACCAACTTGAATCGAATTGTCACACGTGCATCTCTCTAAATAATTCACTGTACCTTACTGTCCCCTTTGAAGTAAAAAAAAAAAAAAAAGATATTCCACCCCGTTGCCCGTTGGCCTAAAGAAATGGAAGCACAGCAGCAATAGATTTCCCAATAGAAAAAACTAAATACGTTGATAAAGCGGGGGGACCTTTACTTTCATGATTGTCATTTCATCACTTCTGATCTCTTTAATAATTATCATTTCAAAGTTTTATTTCTATTATTGTTTTATTTTTTATAAATATTTAATCTTTTTTCCTAATAATTTCAAAAGATTGTTTAAATGGTTAAAAATATAATTTTTTAAATATAAATTTTAATCTCAATTAACATATAAATGTACATTTTAAACATAGTTAAAAAAATTAATATTGATAAAATATGTTTTGAATATGGTTTATAAAAGAATTTAATTTTGATTTACGTATGTTAGAAAATATTTTTAATATGGACAATAAAAAATCATATTATTTCCCCTTATGCCAAGTTTCCACATGTATCCCGGACCACTTGCTGCGTTGTCTTAACCTGTAAGATTCTCATTGGTGGTTCTTTTTTCATCGTCAAACTTGCTTCCCAAACAGCCCTTTAAGAACACAGCTGTGATGAAAAATTCACCCTTGATGACATAACAGTCCCATCATAGTACACAAAAAACTAAACATAAAAACTTCGTCATGAGAGTGACGGTTAGTGATGATGGAATAATCTCTCTTTGTCCTGGGACGTTCCTTCGTTTACCAATCTCTAGCTCGCTTCCAGAAACCCACCAGCTTTTTAATGTCTTCCGCAGGTTCTGGCTCTCTTTCTGGTCTTATAATCATGTCAAGAATGAATACATATTAATTTTACTGCAAAGGTGATTTTTTTCGTTCGCCGCTTTTTCTTAAACACAGTATTCTGATTCTCCCTCTGTCTCTCTACGAGTTGGTGTCACTGGCTAGGCTGTTCTTTTTTCTTTTTCTTTTTCTTTTTCTTTCCTCTTGATTCATTCGTGATGGTGTTGTGAGATGATTGGGAAATGTGAACTCGTAAGTGATATCCTCGTATAATTATCGGAATGATTGGAATAAGATTGGTAGACCCTTTGGTTTTTGTTTGTGTTTTGGTACAGAATTGGCTGATTAGTTGTCGGTTAGTGAAACTTGATATAGTACTTTCATTTGATTAATACTGGATTTTGATTGATCGGCAGAAATTAGACACACTCTTAATTAATCTTTCAACTTTTACAAAGCTAATAGTTTTTTTTTTTTTGAAAAACGGAAGCCCTGGATCTTTGCTGAATGATCATTTGAATATATTCACGTGGCGAATAGATTTGGTGCTGGTAGCTTTTGGCATGGTTGATGCGTCTATTTGTAAGTTTTGATCTCATTTGGAAGTTGTGTTTCAATAGTTTTTATTGTTCGTTGATTCGTCACATGGCGAGATTGAGGGCCTCATGTTGCAAGATTTGATTTGTTTATTAATTTTTTTTTTTCAGGTGACCCTACGATCATCCAGAAGGGTATTGGAGATTTGTTGCACCATATTACTTGAGCTGCTAATTGTTGGTTAGATTATTTAACAAATGTCAGCTTATGCCCATCAAATGGAGAGGGAGTTCTCAGCTCGGAGCCTCTCCAGTAGAGGAGGTTCTGGTAAGCACCACCATTTCTAAATTTCCCTATTTCTAAATTCGGTTGCTCTATGGTTTTTATGTTGAATCCAAATGCCAGACTTATTGCAAGAAAATAAACAGAGATCTATAACAGAGACTATCTTCTTCATAAAGAGATTGCTGGAGAGAGGAGAAGGCATGTGATGGAGAACAAAGGAAAGTCATATTGTGGATTCTGGAGAAGTAACTAGCCATAGTGTATGAAATACCGTTTATTGGTGCAAGTTTGCATGGGAATGACATGGATAAAATTGGAATTCCTATTAGGCTGGTTAATACTTAGGATCTTCGAGGAGGGCTTGTCTCTTGACATTCCTCATGGATGAATTGGAAAGGCATGATCACAATGATATCTCATGATTTGGCACACAGGCTATTGATGCTCTGATGAAGAAGTATAAACGGTTCAAGAAAAAGAGGTGCAGACCAGCAATGAATGTAGCTAAAACTGTTAAAAGTTGGTTTGGTATCAAAGAAAGTTTGGATCCATGCATGTAAAGTAGGATTCAGAAAAAAATATTCACGTGCCCAACTCTAAGTGGTATGGGAGGTTTACTTGAGTTGGGATGCAGTGGAGAGCTTTTATGTAACCTGTTGATTTATAGGAAACTTAACTCACTGGAAGGTGTACCCATCATCTTCCTCTTTATACACTTACGACATGAAATAGCATGTAATTGGTTGATGGATCTTCTAGCAGATTTTTATTGGTTGACTTTTAATTTCTTAAATTAGGACTAGCAAAGCTCTTCATTAGTTATTCTCCTTTCAATTTGCTTGAGCATTTATTCCTCTATCATTTTTGACACAGAGATGGGAAGCCATTATGTGGTGGAGTCAGGATTCCACATGACATCTATTGCAGCAACAATCTTCGTCGCTTCCCTCCTAACTGTTGGAGTTTTATTGACCACCTTGGTGGTTTCTCTAGCAGTTATGTTACAATCCTGCCAGGATAGGAGTAAAGGAGTTGTTGAGATCCAAAAACTAAGTCATGATTACAATTACTGCAAGATGTTTGCTTTGCATGCAGAACTCAACAGCTTGGGACCAGATCACTTTCCTTCTATGTGCATGAGTCTTGCTGTTCAGCACATCAAAGAAGGGGCATACGAGAGAGAATTAAATGCTAGTCTACACATGATTGAGAGATATTTTGACACTCTTCTGCCGTTAGATGACGGTCTAGATGTTGTATTGATGGACATTGATGACATATTTCCTTCAAATCCTCATTACTCCTCTCTCTTGATGCACAGGTAATTATGTTGGAGTCTTCACCTGCATGAACATTTCCTAGTGATCTGTGGGAAAAACTCCAAAGGCATTGTTGGGTTTCATATATTAGCTCACTAGCTCAGATAGCATTTCCTTCTTCAAATTAGTTGGTCTTCTGAAAGTGTATGTTCATGTTATAATGCTTTCATTATGCCCTCAGCTCATTCCTTTCTTATTCTCAATATTGATTATTAGAGCAGTGATAGATACTGCTGCCATGACTTCTCTTGGACTTTATTATAGCCTGTGTTTATCACTTGCATTACCATTTTAATTTTTTGGTGTAGAGTCCATGATAGCGGCTATATCGATTGTTTTCAAGAGGAAAAGCATCTGAAGCAAATGCTTTGTCTCAGTTTATACACAAAACTTCAAGCTAGTGGGTGGTCGTTGATTTTGTTGTCAAGAAAGCCAGAGAAACAACGGAATGCCACCATACAGCACCTTGTTTCTGCAGGATACAGAGGTTGGTCCTCAATGATAATGAGGTACTATTTCTATGTGCTTCTCAAATTAGAATTAGTTAATTCACTAACCAACAACCATTGAAATTGCAGTGATTTAGCTACAGTATTAAGCTTTTGTTTTTTGGATTTATACTACACTACCGAGGATATGGTAGTATGGTATTCATTGGAGATTCTGAAATTTGGTATTAACTGAAGTGGGCTAATATAAATGTATTGTGAGCTTGAAGATGATAGGAAATGGATTTTGTGTCTCTATCATGGTTTCTGTTTGCTTCATCCACTTGATCGAAAACTTATGATATAAGACAAATAATTGCTTACAGAAGTTTTCTAAATTCTTAGGAACAAGCCAGTTCTGTTGAACATTATCCGTTTGTCGAATGCATCCTTTTTCTTTCAGAATATTTCTCTGCATTTAATCCCATTTCAAGACAATTTTACTCTAGATGTAGAGTCTTTGCAAATTAGTTTGCAGTTCAATACAATTGAATGCAGTCTACAGTCTACAGTCTACAGTTTGAGTCCACATTTGGTTTGCCTGCATAAAATTTACTCGGTGAAGGCATCCTGCTATCGCTTCATCAAATTCTGTTTTCAGCATCAAATTCTGATAGACAATTTGTGGCTAATGTAAATGACTAATTAAGCAGACATTGTATAGTGGTTTGTACTTGTACTTTTTTATTTGACTAACCATATCTTTTCACCACTCCTGTAGGTCGGATAATGAAATGGAGATTGATAGCCATGAATACTTCACAAAGAGAAGGGTGGAGGTGCGGAGAGCAGGCTTCCGTATCGCTGGTGTAATTAGCAGCCAGATGGATGCTTTAACAGACCCATCTTTAGGACAGCGTGTTTTTAAGCTTCCAAATCCGATATATTTTAATCTTGAGCATCAAACTGGGAACTCATGTGTGCTGGAATAGATCATGTTCCAGGGTGGCATCATTTATTTGCTATTCATGCATTGATGGTAGACCATTCTGTCGTTGTAAAGTCAGGCAGTCAGCCATATCTAATTATCTGGTTCTGGTTCAGTGTTCTGTTGTATACAAACTTTGATATCATCAATTTAAAGAACAAAATTTCATCTTTTCTTTTTCTTTCATGTTGCGTGTGGCAGCTTTACTTTTTTTCATGTAACTGGTGAATTGCACAGAACTTTGGTTTCGGCTAAAACGGCCAGGACAAGATGTTATTAGGTAAAAGAAAATTGCTGAAAATTTTTGCAGCTCGTGGTTTGTTGATTTATGTCCAGCTAGAACAAAAATTAAATGGGAACAGACCTGATGCACATTAGAGCTTTAAGAATAATATTAAATCACTGAACAGGAAGGCTGGTTTGAGGTGTAAGGAAACAAATAGAGAACCATTGGGATGAATCTAAATAGCAAGGGAAGGTGGAGTAGCTTAACACTGTGAATTGAATGTAATAGATAACCTACGTAGCGTCCGTTGCATTTCTGTATATAGGTGTGTAATTTTTAAAGTTGAAATCTGTAATGACATTACAAGTATTACATTAAATTATATATATATATATATATATATATATAAACTTAATGAACCATTGCGTGATTAATCATCGTAGAGGGACCTGATTGTAAAAAAAATATGTTATAGGACTAAAAAGTTTTCATTAGAAAATACAAGAACGAAAAAAAGTTTAAAATAAGGACCAATTTATAAAAAACAGAATATATGGACGAAAATAAAATTTTGAAAACAATGAGGACTAAAAGAAAATACAAAAGAACGGAATCTAATTTCTTTCGCTCAAATTTGAGAGGTACATTTCAACAAAACAATGATTCCTCGAAAACATGAAAAACCTAAATTCAACCATCCGGGCAATAATAGACTCGCAAATGTAAACGAGACTTAACCATAAACGAGTTCAACATTTAATAATCTCACCAATGTACTTACAAAATTTCCATTCCATGATTGTAAATGCAAAAGGAAGATTTCTTACCTAACCTAGAAAGTAGTGAATCGTAGTCCATGGATGCTCTGGAAAAATAATCTCATGGATATTTTCCACGATCCTCGCCCCCGTGATCCTTCCCTACGGATAATAGATTTTCCAGCCACTACGAAATGTTGTTTGAGCAAAGATCCTGTTCAACGGGCTCAAGGTCAAGCATGATTCATTTCATAGATCACGGCTTTTCAATTTCCACATACAAGACTCAAATAGACAACACGTGTACCATTTTACAAAGTCAAACAATGTCAATTTGTCACCGATAACGCTACTAACGAACCGAGTTTAGAGATCCGGTAGTGTCTTGCGACGATTCAACATCAAGCCTTATCGTGCTTTCATTAGCTTTCCAATTATTGTATTAGAACTTTGGTCACAACCCGGATTATAGCGATATTGTGTCGCGAGTATAGTAATAGAAAAGAAATATGGAGAATCGTAATCCGTTCAATTTATAGACACAAAAAGATATGCAACACAATGGTGTTTACCAAAAACACATTTTCTTGTATTTGTTTTAATCTCGTCCGGTAGCTAGCATTTGTTTCTAATGTTCGAATCATCAAGACAAAACTTGTAGATGTAGTGGCGTCTAACGAAAACTGTTTCGATGGCTCTCCGACTTTTGATACGAAAAAGATGTTGGTGCGGGAACCTTGGAGATAAGAGAATATTGTAGAATTCTTTGATATAATTTCTCTTAAACTGGAGTTTCAAAATATCCCGAACATCATGAATCGAGTATAACTTTTTAGTGAAAATATATTTTTCAACGGAATAAATATTCTCAAAGCTTTAAACGGCGTTAGTATTCTCTCTCTTTCTTTCTTTGATAAAGAGCATGTTACTAATCTTAAATTAATACTATCATAATAATATTTTTGATGAAGATCATAAGTAATAATCAAACAAAAAATCACATCCCATTTAAAAACGAAATATCTATTTATATAAAGAATCAAAACTTAGGAAAATGATCGATAATATCAGATTTATATATCTATCTTCTCAAAACAAAGTTTTATATATGCATTGTTTTTAAGTCATGGAGTGAGAATAGCACCATCCATAACACAAATATGTATTTGGTAGAATTTAATACAAGATATTTTACTATTTTCTCTCAGCTATTTCGTATATTAACTCGTTTATTCCTGACATCACATGCTTTCAAATTATTTTCCCTTTTTTTTTCTTCTTCTTTACTTGTCGAATGCAATTACAAATTTGCCTCTTCCCTTAATTGATTTTCACTTTTAGAATTATTAATTCAATGGACCAATTTAGGAAAACACCCGTATAATTTAGAGATAATTACCAAAAAAATCTTATATCTAAAAAACTCACAAATTTATTTTTAAATTTTCTAAATCCAAAATAATATTTTTCTTACTAAAAACACCCAATAATTAACACTAGTGTTAACTATTGGTTGTTTTGGTAATAAAAATTTTATTTTAAGCTTGTGAGATTTAAAAATATTATTTTTTGTTTGGGAGATTTAAAAATAAAATAGTGAATTTTTTAGATAGAAGATTTTTTTGGTAATTATCCATAGTTTAAATGAAACCATTATCTTTCAAGATATTTATTTCTATTATAGATGATCATGTTTTATTTAATTAATGCACAAAAATATGTTATACATTCACCTTGTAATTTAATTTAATTGTTTGATAAAAAATATTGAGTTTTGATTAATTAAAAACTAGTACTACCGATTATACTTTGTTTTTCTATCAATATATTAGGATTTAAGAAATCACTAATGTTCATAATCATACATATTCTTGTTTTTTTATTTGTATAATAACCTTTTGATTAAATTACCGAGAGAATAATAAGAGTCTCATTTCATCAATATTAATTAATTAAATTGCATCGATTGCTATAGTTACTAGATAGTAAAATTAATCTCGTAATCAATTAAACAAACGGGTCGATAGAAAAAAAACTCTAATATAAGGAATTTTTTAGTATAATAAAAAAAACAGTCGAATGTTAGTGTTTAAAAATTTTCTATCTAAAAAATCTATCAATTTATTTTTTAAACTTCTCAAACCTAAAAATAAAAAAATTATCTTACCAAAAGACTCAATAGTTAACTAGTGTTAAGTTGGAGGTTAACTATTGGATGTTTTGGTAATAAAAATATTATTTTGTGTTTGAGAGATTTAAAAATAAATTGATGGGTTACTTGGATATAAGATTTTTTTAGAGGGTTTTTCTAGTAATTATCCCTATAATTTAGGTAAATCTTAATTAATTTGCCTTCCGAAGTTTATGGGTTATCTTTAACTTCATTTAAAATTTAGATTTGTTTCAATTATACTTTCTTTTTCTTTTTTTATTCCGATTAGCCTTCACATCTTTCATTTTTATTCTAATTTTTTTCAATTCTCCATCTATTTTTGTCAAGTGTATAGATTTTATGAAATATCTCAATAGCATCTAAAAATTATGGAAAAACAACTGACTGAAATGAAGAAAAAAACTAAAAATTAATAGAAAACATAATTTTTTATTAAAATAAATATGATAAAATTTGACAGCGTTAATCTCTCAAGGAATCATCAAATCCTTCAAACTTTAATTTTTATTTAAACAATATTATATTTTTCTTTGTCAATACTATAATTAAATGAAAGTAAAGATTCAAATTAATTTAATTCTTTATTTTATTTTTTTGGTCAAAACTTTTGCCATTATGATCTCTTTTTTTCTTTGATATTGTCATTAATTAAGACTTTTGATATGCGTAAATAATTACATTACAAATGATGTCAAAATTATCTTATACTTAAGTTACCATTCCATTCATACGGGATTTCAATTTTTTTAATTTTTTTTAGGATACTTGTTCAAGATTTTAATGAAAAATTAGATTAAAAAAATATAGATATGATAAGTTAGGGGATAGTATGAGAGGCAACCATAATTATGGTTAATATTTTTATCTTATTTTATTTTATTTTTGCATAGCCAAAATATTGTTAGATAGTGTTGATGGAAAAAAAAAACTTGTTTATTATATTCATTTTATTGAAAATGGCTTTCTTTAATGATTTTTTTTTCTTTTTTTTTTTTATGGGTTATAGTGAAATATTTCATAAACTTTAGAAATGGAATTAATGAAATTGAAATTTACACAAAATGGAACAAAATGAAAAATTCGAAACAAATCAAAGATTTTAGGTGAGATTAAGAAAACACGTAACTTTCAATGGAAATTCAAATTTATCTTGTAATTTTATATTAAACATATATTATTGTTTACCAAAAATAAAAAAAACATATATTATTACCATTTTTAAAAAATTGAGTTGGTATATTATATATCCGCCATCGTGCAAAATAGAAACTGAACGCTTCGACACAATAGAGAGCCCGTGTCGGCTAGGATGATTGATTATATGCAACCACCACCACTGATATCAATCTTCGAAGTTGCCTTTCTATGGCTCGTGGCTTGCAATAAGGTTGCCCATTGTCCAAATTGAAATTTCTGGGCTTCTTTTATGACTTTGGGCTTACAATATGGTAGCCTTATTAAAAGTTTTTGAGAGATGTTTTTGGTTTCTCAGAATGTTTGGTAAGGGGGCGATTTTTCGATAATTTAAGGGCAATAATGAGAGGAGGAGGTTCAAGGAGATGGATTGCTTCTGCTTTCTTGGACTTAAGAAAGCTTTCTTTATAGTTTGGAGAGAGGAGGTGCAAGGATAAGGGCTATTTCTAGTTTCTTGGGATGTGGGTGAGAGGTTTCTTGATAAATCTTGGAGCAAGAGTGGGGATTATGAAGGGAATGATTGAGTTTAAAATCGTGCTTTGAGCCGCCGGGCTTCAAGAAACCAGCTGATTTACCATGTAATTATCAATATTACTAAACCTAAGTCGGATCAGTCGGTCTAATGACCTAATTAACTATCTGATTCGAATTGATATTAAAACTAAATTCATTCAAATTAAATCAAAAAATCTATTCGATTAGATTCATACATCGAGTATTGACTTGGTAAAAAATAAAAATAAAAATAGTAATTTATCAAATTTAAACTTAGAATCTCTACTTTCTAAACTTATTTACTCTTATTCATGTTTTGTATATTGCAAAATATATTTAGATTTTAATACTAACAAACCAGCATCGAGACTAACAATCCATGGAATGACCTAGCAAACCAATGACCCAAAGTTTGACTAAGTAGTTATCCGAGTCAGGTATAATAACATTGGTAACTATAGTTAATTGCATGATATAAGATACAGAGGTACTGCAAAATAGCTAGGACCAAAAAACAACCTTTACACCCCAATACAGGACCTAGGTAACTTGGCAAAAAGAGAGAGAGAGAGAGAGAGAGAGAGATCCGAGTCTCCACTGATATTATCGCTGTTCACTGGTTCATCTTAGAGATGGGTGTGCATCGTCAAATTAATTAGCAACAGAGTTTCCACTGCAAAAGTTTTGTGAATATCAAATATGTGCTTATTCCCGAGCAGACAAACAATCTAATCAAACTTCTGATGACAGATTTCTCTCAAGACCATTTTTTGTGAGTTAATCCAGAGCTCTTTCAATAGCATCCATGTCCTTTTGACAGTTACGTACTTTTCCGTTAAAACCAACCACCTCAGAGAAATCCTCTATTAGCTTCCATGTATTTCAACCTCCCTTGAATGTTTAGGTAAATTTTTGTTTCATGGAGAGAGATGATTTACAATCAATAACAAAGAGATGACGTTGAACACCCAGCTGTAGAATATACGAATCAATTACTACTTCCGATACAGGCTATGTCAACTAGCACAAAATATTAAGAAAGGGGAACAGAATTAACTCCTTGCACAAGGTTGACCATTATTTCAATGCGCTCAACGGTCGACCAGCTGCTTTCGGTCGCTGCAACCATGCAATCCTGATATTCAGGCTTCCCTACTTGAATAAAGATTTCCCTATATTCCTTCTTTAGGAATACATCTAAATCAAACTAGTAAAGATCACTGCCTTGTTCCCCTTGCTCCATCCCATCAGGAAACTTAATACGTTTCCCAATGCTACGATTTAATCTGCCTTGCATCGACTGAAAGCTCCTGGCGCTCCTCTGAACTGTTAGAACACTGCTTGATCCAACAGCATCCAAAAGATGTTTTTCTCTCGTATTTTCGAAGGATTTTCAGTAAACTGGAGTTCTTTAAATCGAAATTGTGCAGCTTCAGGATTTGCCTGTCACAGAACCATTATACCGTTACAAATCTCTAGTGCTGAAGAGCAGGACATAATTTATCTTACACAGTAATAATTTGACATCCATTTCACATACCTCAGTACATTTTAGCCAATCTGCTTCCCTCCCACCAAATTTACTGGTATTTGAATCCCCATTTCATCCTGCTAGTACCAACAAGCTTGCTTCAGACTTTCCATTGCTCCTTTGTGTTATCTCGGTGGTTCCTAAGTTGTTTCGTATCATACCTAAGACCAGTCTTTTCATGAAATGAATGAAAAATATTCCTTCAGCCCTTCCTAGTAAAATGAAGTCCCAGGGCGATTCCCCCTTAATACTTGTTGTACACATAGACCACTAAATGTTTTACATGGACTAAGGCAACCTATGAAAAAAAATTAGTGAGAGAATAAAAATTGCGATGCAACGAATCAATAAATCACAAGATTGCCAAATCCTTATACCCAAACTAAGCAAATATGTAACACCGATTGTTGCCATAGTGTGAAATAGAGATTAAATTACCGTCCACTCAACAGCTTTTAAGGTTTTTGGATGTGTTTTTGGAAACTCGAATTAAAATGATGTGCCTCATGTATCTCAGCATATAGACAATCTCACGCTGTGTGCATTACAGATGTACTCGGCTGGCAGGGTATTTAGCCCCTTGGTTCTTGAGTATTGTGGCCCCAAATTCTATGTGGCTAGGCTAGAAGGCACAAATTCAAGGCCTTGTTTAACAAAAAAATCATCGTCAGGATGAATCATCAGGCATTCTTTCTCAAGCAGTGGTTCAAAACATTTGAATTCCTTTTGCCATATACCTGATGCAGAAGACCAAATGCTTATGATGGGCACACTAATATTTGTGAACAATAAAATTAAAAATCAGCCATTCTATATAAAGCAGTAACAAAAAAAAATTAAAGTGCCATAATTGCATGGAACTCAAGATGCATTGTGATTACAAAATCATCAACAATATCAACTGGACTATTCAAAGAAATTTGAACTTCCTAAAATCAACTCTCTACAACAAAAATCAAGTATCTCTACAACGTACAACAATCAAGTCTCTACAACAACAATAAACCAAATGATGTGCTCGATCTCAAACCATCGAACAAAAAGCAGAAATGCTAAATCTGCTAACCAGCAACAGATGAACCCTACCTTCCATTTATCTCCCAAATTGAACCCAGAAGAACCTCACTATCACCCAAATCCACTAAAACAGTAAGAAACCAGCCAATAACCACCATACCAAGCAAACACGCATCCAAAGCACCCTTCCCACACCAATCTCACCACAACCAGAGAACTCAACATGATACTTCTTAGTCATATTGGCATACAAGATCCCCCAATTTCTAGTCCCTTGTTTCACATTATCCTTATCGACCAACTCAAAAATATAAGCCTGGGAAACCCCTTCTTTCCTTAACGGCGTGCCCACCCCAGACCTTAAATGCGAAACCAAACCCTTAATATACATCTCGGCATACTCTAATTTCGCATCAACCTCAGTTGGATCTCCACCAGTACTCGGCCAACCAGTCTCTGCCACTATCACCGGAAGGTTCTCATGTCCGGCCACCGCAAGTGCACTTACAACCGCATCCACCATCATATCAAAAAGGTTCCAGTACCTTACCCCAGTAATCAAATCATCTCTAAAATTGAATGGATGCTCTTGAAATAAAGCAAACCCTAATGGAATCTCAGAGTTTATCCTATACAAATTGTACGGATAAAGATTCACCAAGAAAGATGAATTTGTATCTTCCAAGAACTGAAGCAATGGCTTTATCAATAATTCCCCAAGCGGTTCTTGGAAAGTACCAGAAGAAGGTGGAAACGGCGTCGTAATCACGTTTACGAAAGAGAAAGTAGTGGAGACTGAGATTTTTTTAATCCCGAGGTCACGGAGTGCCAGGTGCACGTTCCTGATTGCGGGAAGTAAAAAGGGAGAAAATTGCGAGACTGCATCGTCTCCAACTGAAATGAGAGAAATCTTTGAGCGAGGGTAGAAAGGGAGGACGTGACCGTAGAGCCAGCGAGCAGCGATGGAGCGGTTGGCAGCGAGAGGAGGGAGGAGAGAGTTAGGAATGGAGAGGAAAAGAGAGGTGTTGGTGAAAGCGAAAGAACGGATTAAGCTAGGGTCGGGGTTGGGGAGGCGGAGAGAGCGGATGTTGAGGGAGGATAGAGCGGAGAGGATGCCATCCGCAGGGGGAGAGGGTGTAGAGGAAGGGGAGGGCGGCGATGGTGCAGTGTAGGTGACGCCAAATGTGGTGGTGGACGTGGAGGTGGCAGAGGAGGGAGAAAGGGGGTGCTGGTGGTCGTGGAGGGAAAGAATGTGAGGGAGAGGAAACAGAGACGGAGGAAGGAAACGAGAGGATTCATGGTTTCTTGAGAGATTTTTTTCAGAGAGAGAGTTTGTTGTGGAATGGAACGGGTGTTTGTTAAGTGAGTGAAGGCGGGATTTTAAGTTGGAACTGTTGAGCACGCCGATGCGTATGATAATGCGGCGGGAAAGCTCGAGAGGTGAGCATAGAGGATGCCACGTGGGGGGGTCAAGAGACGCATCAGGCGTAAGTTAGTTTGCGTTGATTGTTACGGTTAGACTGGGCGGGGACAATTCATACTCTCTCAGTTGTAGATGCCAGATATTAGCAGATATTTGAACTGATGAAATTTCATTTTGACAGAGCGTACGGTGCAGGTTGCTGCTGATCAGAAAGTTTTTTTTTGGGCTGAATAAAATATTGATGATTTGATTTCATGAGAGCCCATGAGGCTCATAGAGAGACCAGTTAAAGTCCATATTTTACAAGGGCTTGACGCCTTCAATCCATTATCCAAGCACAGAAGTTATTTGGTATTTCCAGAGCTGCTATTTCTTCGTTAGCGTAAAAGATTAATAGATGGAGATGTTCTTTTATTCGTTCTATGGTCTTAATTGTGTCCTTTTTTTTTTTGTTTTAAAATTTTCTTTTATTCTTTCTTTTTTGTTTTAAGTTCGTTATTCTGTTAATTTAAACATTAAATCACACCATTAATCCTATAAAATTGAGACATGCATCCATTTTTTTCTTGATCTCGTGTGATTCTATTTTTTTTCCATCTTAATGTCGTCTCTTTATTTTTTTTAATTTAAATAAATAAATTTTGAAAAATAAAAAAACAAAAAATTAGAACAAAATGAAGATATATCTGTTCATTTTCTCTAAAAATTGAAAAAAAAATGATAAAGATAAAAATATTTTTTTATCTAAAATATCTTTTATGCGTTAAAAAAAAATGGTAAGGAATGTAAATTTTGTTAATATTTTTTTAGGAATATACATTCAGTTACAAATTTTGGGTTTTCTTTTTCCATCTCAACAAAAAGCTCTATTAAAAAGAAACAAAAATTTATATTTTCACTTTTGAGTCAAATTAAGAAACTTGTAAAATAAAAAAGAGAAAATTATAATAGAGTTTTTTTTATATATTATAAAATTATAAATATCATTCAAAAGTTTAAAATTTTAACTAAAACTCTCTTCAAATTTTTTTTTTAAATCCTATAAATATTTTATTTCATAAGCAAATTTGCTCACTGTAATAAAGATAAATTTAAACCTATTAAAAGATATTTTGGATAAAAAAAACTATCCTCATTTTTTAGAGAGAATGACAAGATATATCTTTATTTTTTATTTTTCAAAATTTATATTTTTTAAATTCCATAAAAAAAAGATTAATAAGAAAAAATGTAGATAAAAGAGATTAAGACAAAAAAAAGAGTAGAAACAAAAAATTAATGGAGTGACGAGATTAAAACAAAAACCAAAGATAGAAAAATAAATTTAAAATGAAACAAAAAAAAGTAGAGGAACATGATTAGGATTTAAAAAAAGAATAGAAGAACCCTGTAACCATTAAACTTTAATGTAAAACTAGAATCCATCTTGATGATTATATTCATATATTGAATTCTTATTAGTTGAGATGTTTAGTTCATATAATAAAAATTAGTTTCTCTTTATTTGATTCACTTTTATTGGTTAAATAAGATTGATATTCTTCGTGTTCTCTCGTTAAACTACGATGACGTTAATCTTGTTTTATACATATATAATATATAAAAAGAATCTGATCAATTTAAACGGTTTTAATTAGAAAGTTTCAATGAACTTTTAAAATCATTTATTTATAAAGACGTTAATTACTAATCGAAACATGTTATTTACCATCTTCTTTGAGGATGTACGTAAACATATTGCAATTCTTATCACGGTTTTGATCTAATCGTGACAAGGAAATAATGTTGTCTTTATTTTTTAACCGTTAATGAAATTACTCGTCTCGAAAATAACTTTGCCAGGTAAAATTATGTGAAGTTACCATTCTAGCTCCATTTAAATATATAGCAAGGAACAATGAAGAGGAGTAATGTACCCGGCAAAGTTATTGAAAGATTAGAGATTTATTTTGCCATTAAACATTATAGTTAGCTACATAAGTATAATTAATTTAACCTAGCTAGTGATTTTATATTTCATAGTCTTCTCCAGCAAAACAGGTTTGAGTTTCGACCACTCCTATTTACTTTCTATTATTTAAAAGTTTACACTAAGTGTACAAAAATCGTGACGCAATTAAAAGTGTATTAATTGATTATAATTTCAACGAATGCTTCATGTAAAGCAATGATTAATACGTTGATGGAAATGAATTATAATAATCTGCTCCAGCCGGAGACATAAGGAAAGAGAAAGATAACTTTTCTAAGCAAAAACTCTCTAAAGAATTAAATATACGAATAATCAGTTCTTACACGAAATGGATATATCCTAGACCTCAAACTTAATTTTTAAGATGATAAAAATATAGCAAAACTTTTAGCAAGAATTGGCTCCCGTAATATGTAAAAGTCCGAATGCGGTTATTTATGTTCTAAGCAAGTTTCAACAATATTTTTGTGACTGTTACATATGTATGAGGTTAAGTGATCTTATGATGAGTTTTTTTTTCTAATTTCAATCAATTAAAGCTTTATGCAATAAAAACATGGGAAGAAAAAATAACCGACAAGGTCAAAGAATATATGTCATTGAATTATATAATTTTACTTAATATAGTTACTGCCAGATGACTCACTTTAAATAAATTGATTCAATAAAAAAATTCAATTAACACATAAGTTGATAGAAAAACTTGATTAATAAATTGATTGGAACACGAAGACCGTACATAGCGTTAGCCCAAAAATTGTGCAGTAGATTGATATTATTAATTATCCTCGAGGGCTTTCGTAGAATAATTCAAATTAATAAATAGAAGAATTTAGTTAAATTTAGCCATGTATCCGTGTGTTGGTCGGTGGTTGGGCTAATAAGATACGTGAAATATCAATGGATCATAAAAAATCATGTATTCTATTTGCACTATCAAAATTCTGCATAGAAAAGAATATGAATTGGTAAAGTAGATAAATTTGCACTATTGAGTATTTATTTTGTATAATAGAAATTAAAAAAAAAACGAGTATTTATATGGTACATAAATTTGCGTTATTGAGTATTTATTTTGTATTCTATTTGCACTATCAAAATTCTGCATAGCAAAGTATATGAATTTCGTAAATACATAAATATGCATTGTTGAGTAAAAAATTGTGCACCCACCTCATCATCATCATTCTATGCCAAAACTTGAAATAGAGAATCTTTATCAACATTAACCGGTAATAAAATAGGATGTTATTATTTTTGAAAAGATAATCAACAAATATTGAAAACGATACATGTATTAAGTTAAATACTATATATTTTTTTAATATTCATACATCTTCATTAGAACGAGTTAAAGGATCGAATTCGAATCGAATCATATTAGATATATGTCCAATTTACTTAATAAATAAATTGAATCAGATTTTATGAAATCGAAATTGGATTTTGCAATTATCGGTGTGGATCCTAATGGTTCATATTGGATTCGAATATTCATTTGAATTTACCTTTTGAAATCTTTTAAAGAAAAAATATTTATTATATTCAAAGTCATGTTTCAACGCAAGATGAGTTCAACTATCACATGCATAAGAAAGCTAATAATATTTAATATGTCATTTAAAAAAAAATCTAAATATCACACTATTAAAAGAACAAAATAATCTCGATAAAAATTTATATTAAAGGTCAAAATTAATTGAAATCATGCAAGAAGTATGAAAAAATTAAAGAAAAATAATAAAAATGTCTACTCTAGGCACAATTTGATTGATATGAAAGAAAATCCAAGTCTTTAAAAAATAATTAAGTTTGAGACGAATAAAAATTCAGATTGAATCAAGATTTTATAAATAAGAAACACAAGTATAATACTAGCAACAATTCATTAATTTTTTTTCATGCATTTAATTACAGGATCTTTCACAAAATTAATTTGATACTTGAAAAATGATGAAAGAAAACTTATCGTGTAATTGTTTGAAAGAAAAATTATAAATGTAGAGAAAAAAAGAACACAAGCTAGTATATAACGTTTCTTAGCATTTAGAGTAAATAAATTCTAAATCTAAACCTAGTGCCATTTTTTTTTATATATTTAAATTTGTTTATGTTCTTAAAAGATTATATTTATTAAAAATAATATTAATAGACTAATTCAGATTATAATCCCACTAAAATCATAAGAATTATATATCATATTTATTTAAGCATATTAAATCAGATCAAATTTAGCTCAATATCCAACTCCTTAGTAGTCTTCCAAAATTTATATGCAGTACAGATTTGTTTTTCAACCATAATGATTACTGATGAAGATAGTTATTTAACTCTACCAGTTAGGTTCTTACAGCAGTCATGTGGCGCTTTAATTTTACGGACTTGTCCTGTACCCATCCCGTCTTATGCCTCACTTTAATACCTGTTATTAAACAACATTGATAAAAGGCAACCTTATATATATATATATATATATATATTAATAAGTTTGATAATAATATATATAGGGGAAAATTGTATTTTTTTACATTATTGATGGGGTGGCATGAAAAACTATTATTTTCCAAAGTAAAAGAAGTATTGATTAAAGCTGTTGCAGTAGTGATGCCTCTTTACAGCATGTCAATTTTCAAGCTCCAAAGCTCTTTATGTTCTGAAATCACTACTTTGTTTGCTCGATTTTGGTGGAAATCAAAAGAGGAGGTACAGACATTCACTGGATAAGTTGGAAGAATTTCAGTTTATAAAGATGAAAGTGTCTTGGTTTTAGAGATTTACAAGCTCTCACTCTTGCTGTGCTGACAAGATAATGTTGGAGATTAATTTATTCCTCTTATTCTTTGTTTTCGAGAATCTTGAGAAAATACTTCCACAATGGCTCTTTTACGACTTCTTCTTTGGGTTCTAGTCTATTGTGGAGGTAGCGTAGCATTTTGGAAGGAATGAAGATTTTGAATTTAGGTTTGAGAGCGAGATCGTATCAGCATATAGGATGACACTTCGTTACCAAGACCTACCACCTTTTGAGTTTTTTCAAGGAGGCCTTCAAGTATAAAGAGAATTGATAATCTTATGGTTCATAATTTAAGGAGATGGAATGTTCAATTAAAAATATTTTTATGAGCGAAAGCAATTTGACAGATTGTATCTTTATAGAAAAAACTAAACCATAATATAAATTTATTATCCACTATATTATTTTAAATATTATTCATCCAGTCTCATATGTATTATTATGTATTATTCTTTTTATTATGCAGTAGTATTTTTATAGTTTTCAAATTTTTTAAAAGATTTATTATGAAAAATTTTATGATATTATACTTTAATTCTTTTTTTTACAAAAATATTATTTTATAATCTGTAAATATATTTTTATTTGATTTTGGTTTCACTTTTTTGTTTTATTTTGGTTATTTTGATTTTTTTTCCTCTGATTTTTTTAATTAAAAATTTTAAGATAAAAAAAAGTTTTAAAAAAATAATTTAAAAAATAAGTTTTTAGTTAAAAATATGGATAGAGTTAAATAAATAATTTTTTAATAAAAAATTGATGAAAATATAAAGAAAAATTAATCAAATATAAAATTTTATTTAAAAAATAATAAAATTTAATGAATTTTTATTCAATTCTATTTTGATATATTTTAATAGAGGCATAATATAACGTGGAGATATCAAAATAAAATAAATTTTAAAAAATAATTTTATGTATTTTGTTTGATCCGTATCGTAACGTTGATAAAAAACTATTTTGGTACTATGATAAAAAAAAAAAAAATCACTTTGGTAAATCAGGTTATGTATGCTATTTCTCTTTCAATAAGACATCTCAATAGATCTTTACCTGGTCCTTCAATTTCACAAATTTATAGACGACAGATGACAAATTAAGAATGTCGAACACATTAAACAATTTATTTGGCGTTGTTACTCTAACGTCGAAGCAATAAGAAATAACTTAATGTATTTTATTTCAAGATAACATTTATCTTTTATCAGTTCCGACAAAAAAAAATCCTAAAAATTCAATCTTTAACTAACGTATTGAGTTATCTGCCCAAATTTATTCTAACTTGAATTTGCGAGACAAATAATGGATATTTTAATTCAAAATTGGATTTGTGATCTCACGGAAAAAAAAAAAAACACCAATCGAAGTGGGGTTTCTTAGTCGATAATGTGAGTTATCTTTTTTTTTTTTTTTTTTTAAAGTGAAAACGAATATATATATATATATATATATTAAAAAAACAAATATAGAAGATGGGAACAAACATTTGTACATTCTCGGATAACCGATGCCAAGGGAATGGGCATCAAGTGACAAGCCGACCGGATTACTTTTCGTGCTTTTGAGTAATAAAAGTTTACCTTCTTTGAGTAATTGTTAACATGCGTATCTTTGAGTAATTATTAACATGCGTGCTAATGCCATGTGAAGGTGTCGCCGTGAGAATTTGCAAATTTGACATCCATACTTTCTCCAATTGCTAAATTGCTTCGTTGTGTATTAATGACAAGTTTCCTTAAGAAAAAACTATACTCAGTTTTCATGTACCGGAATATATGTTCGTATATGTATATATATGGGAGCAAATATATTATATATCTATCATATTGGTAGGCTTATTTCTCAAAGGAACTTTGCCATTCGCGCTTAATTATAGGAATACCAAACACTAGTATTTGTTTAAAAATAAAAAATAAAAAATCTGAGAGTATAGAATATGAAAATTTGTCCGAGTCAAGGTGATCAACGCTTCTCCCCTCAAAGGCTCAGACTCAATCAGTTGGCCTATATGTATTTTTTTTCTTTTTGGTGGGAATCTTTATGCCTTTACTCTACCACCTTGCAAATAATCAAATACAAAAGATACGGTATAAAACGCAAAAAACATCATATAATTTGATTTTATCATTCAACATTTTAAAATCCGAGTGGCATGTGTTTTTGTTTTAAATTTAAAAAAGTTTGTTTTGGTTTGAAGCTGCACAAAAGCCACCATATTCATAAAGTTTGGAACCCATAGTTAATACTACTGCTGGTCGCTCGTTTTCGGGGAAAGGATAAATATTCTCCCCAACCATCACCCCATTTTTTTAAGCCCTCTAACAAATGAATTTCTTAATTGACTTCCTCGTTTCATTAAATATTACCAAATCTTAGCTTCCATCCATTTAATTGTGCTCTGAAATTTATTTTGGATCTGGGCAATTAGGTAACATCAAATTAGATGGAGACTTAATTGGGAAAATCTTTTGTCTGGATACTTAATCGAGAAACAGAGTAATAATTTGGGATATATCTGTCCTTCTAATTTTTTTTTTTAACGATGCGCAGCCTTATTAGTTATTCGGGTAAATTAAAAAGAAAAAAACAGGGGTCAACGTGTAATTTTGGCCCTCAAAAAATATCAGGGTAAAAAAGAGAAAAAAGACCGCCTGATGGAGTTCGTTGAACCAGACAAACAAAAAGGGTTTGTGGAGCCCGTAACAGCGTCCAGCGAAGATGATCTCTCATGTATCTCTTTCTCTCTCCGTCTCTGTAATATTTTTATAATAATCTCATAAACTCTCTCTCGCTCTCTCTCTCTCTCTCTATCATAATCATCATCCACTTCGCTGCATCCGCTCGCTGCAAAAAGCGCCCAATCCCCGCTCCCTTCGTCCTCTCTCTTTTGTCCTTAAAAACACGCGTTAACTTTCTTTGACTCTTTCACTTGCATTTCCGTTTCATCGCTCTATTCACTTCCTTTGGCTCCCAGATCGAAAAATCCCATCTTTTCCAATTCTAATCTTAATTCGGTATGTATCTTTTGCCAAACAGATTCGACTTCATCATTTCAGTTTCTGTTTTTATGCTACTCCTGTCTATTTCGTTCCGCTAATTAACTCATTTTTATTCAAGTACTTGCATTTCTTTGAATTCTCAGATCGGTTACCAATTTTGAATCTTGAAGTTTATATTTATTATTAGTATTAATTCTCTGCTATGCCGTGCTTCTTTTGAGAGTTCAAACTTCATCTACTATTGAGTCTTAACTAATACTAATTAATCTGCAAAGCTTCAATCTTTTTATCCATTGATTTGATACATAGCTGATATTGGAGTTTGTGGATTGGCAGGTGATCTAAGGGTGGTAACAGGACAGGCATCAGATCTAAAGGGTTATAGCATATATTGCCAGAAACGATGTCGTTTACTGGGACCCAACAGAAATGCAAGGCTTGTGAGAAGACAGTGTATCCTATGGAACTTCTATCAGCAGACGGGGTTGCTTACCATAAATCTTGCTTCAAGTGTTTTCACTGTAAAGGCACGTTAAAGGTGCTTATACCTTCTTAATCTTTGCCTTACCTAATTTTGTACTATTTTTATTTTTGTTAATCTTGTCAAGAATGTAGTTGGCGATGCTTAAATTTGCAACTATTAGAATTGTCGTTCAGTTGCTAGACTTGGCATTGAGACAACAAATTGACCCAAGTTGTTCTTTTTAGCTTTTAGGCAATGGCTTGTTTAGCACATTGACCTGTTAAAGATCTTTGCCTTTAATTGGAGGGTATGATAAGCAGCGTTTGATAGAATTCTTTTACATATCAACTAGTAGTACATTATAGAGTGATTTTAGGGATAATTGCTTATGATCAACAAATGATTTTATAAGTATTTTTCCGGATTTTGTTATAGGGAAATATTCATGTTATGTACCCAGATTTTAATGGATGACTAGTAGATTATGTGTTCTTGGTTTGTGCTTATTAGGTCATGTTATGTTTTTTCAGCTAAGCAATTATTCATCGATGGAGGGTGTATTGTACTGTAAGCCTCACTTTGAGCAGCTGTTCAAGGAGACCGGTAACTTCAACAAGAATTTTCAGTCACGTATGTCTCTCATTGTTGCCATGATCTTTGTTTTGTTTTGTTTTTTTTTTTTTTGGGATATCTCTATATTTTTCGTTTTTAATTTGCAAGTAATTTGGTTTTCAACAGCTGCAAAGTCAGCTGAGAAGTTAACTCCTGAACTGGTAAATGTTCCCTGCTCCACTGTTTGTATTTGGCATTTATTTACAATTAGTGAATTTCATCTGTGGACTGTGATATGTTGCTGATGCTGTCTTTGATACTCTGGCTGTGCTGTTTTCAGACAAGGTCACCTAGCAAAGCTGCTGGCATGTTTTCAGGGACACAAGAAAAGTGTGCTACATGCGGTAAAACTGCTTATCCACTTGAGAAGGTAGGACTGGAAGATTTCCTGAAGTCATTATTTCGTGATATACATGCATATAAGGTTACTTAATAGAACTCCAATCATTAATTTTGATTGCTTGGCTCGGTTGAGTTTCTCTTTGGTCGAATGAGGCTGTCCCCTGAATGATCATTTATGGAGCCTATATAAATGAATTAAACCTGAAGAGAAGTATTTTGACAAAAAGTTGGGGCTTATTTGACAAGTCAAAGTGGCAGGGCTACAGATTTAGAGGCAGGAATGAAGATTCATGTGACTTAATGCATTACTTAAGCTTGGGGCAATTTTATCTGACATTAATTTGGATTTTATGAGTTCAAGGAGGTTTCTTTTAAGCATTTCTTTTTTCTGGTGGACACGGATTGAACAGCTTGTGATAACAACAGCATTGATTGGATACGTCTCCTTATGACATACCCATGAGTAAAGGCTGCTCATATGTCTTTTTAATTGACCATTTAAAGTTGTTTAGCATCCAATAAATCACAACTCTTAACCCTCTATTGTATAGCAAGTTGCTTATAGTGTAGTCCATTTTTTCTTTTTTCTTTCTTTGTTGAGAAGAGCATAGTTCTTTCTTGGTAGATGGTCTGATGATCGTGGTGCTATTCTACTAATATTGTTATTATTATCCATCCACCTCCCTATCTAAGGTTTTAGAAACTTGGCCATTAGTGTCAGATGCAATATCAGTTATTCCATTACTGGATCGGTGATTCATAAAAGCTTTTGAAGGAACTGAGGAGGTACCTAGCATGGTCAGTTTCTGCCAAGTAAACTGGTGTTTGGCTTGCCGAATGAGGTTAATGGTTCCCAGCCCCTCGTATTTTAGATGTTTCAAAACCAAATGCTAGATATTTGTAAGTATGTATCTGCTGAACTGTTGGTGCCAATTTGGTTGAATTTAAAATTTCCTTGAAAATAAATTGCATCTCTCCGTGTAGAAGTTCTTTATGTTTCTCTGTAGAGAGTTCCATCTGTATATGCCCTTAATACTCTGGAATCATAATAATGGTTTGTTCTCCAAAAAACTACAGGTTACAGTGGAGAGCCAAGCTTATCACAAGTCATGTTTCAAGTGCTCTCACGGTGGCTGTGCCATAACACCATCAAATTATGCAGCACTTGAGGGCATATTGTATTGCAAGCATCACTTCTCCCAACTTTTCAAGGAAAAGGGCAGCTACAACCATCTGATCAAATCTGCAACAATGAAGCGTGCAGCGGCTTCTGTGCCTGAGGCTTAAATATCTCATCCTTAATTGATTTCTATTGGTGTGGCTTTATCTATTTTTCGGTGTGTTTTCCTTCCAAACCCTCTGATTTCCATTGGAAGGAGCAGGCAAAACTTGGTTCTACCTTTATTTTTTTTTATTTTTTTCCCCCTTTTTCCTCTCAGCTCAGCCATACTGGGCATGTTGTGTTTGATTGATAGATGGGTTTCAAATTCCCACAATTGTAAAATGCCTTCTGGAGGAATTTCAATTGCAAATATTGGATGCTACCAGTGGTTCTTACCTCTGTATCTGGTTTTTTGCCGCAAAAATGTGGGGAACGTGTTTCATAATCTTAGGCATCCACTCTTTCTGGAAATGCATCGTATTGCTTATTCTTCCTATGTTACTTTCTTCGGAGTTTGGTTCAACACAGTGATGTTAGTCATCCTATATTATCTATCATGATTGATGGGTAAATTAAAATTGATGATTTTACGTGACTGTTGGCACCAACAATCAAGTGGTTGTAGATATTAGCCTTATAGAACATCCCGTTACTGTGCAGCATACCTTGCTTTCTATTAATAGAGGTATTATACGAGAATTTTCGGTGTTCACGTGTGATAATTTTTTTTAAAAAAACTTTTTTTACTTTCTTACTTTGTCTGTCACTATTTTTATATAGCGTTAATATTATCATTTATTTTTATATAATAAGTTAAATTCTTAATTTATCTTTAAATTAAAAAAAACTTATTTTTTTTGTTAAATTTTTTTATCAAATTAAGCATGTGATTTAATAAAATTGTTTTTATCTTTTGACATAAGCGATGTATGTTTATTAAAATAAACATTAATTTTTTATGAATTAGTTGAAAATTTTGATCAAAAGAGTAAATTAGGACCATCTAAATAATAAAGATAAATTAAAATCGTTATTAGATTTATAGATTTCGTTGAAATTTGATATATTATATAAATATAAGTGAGGATATTAGTTATTTTATTTATAATCTTATAATAGCATATAAAACACGTCATCTTGGAAAACTCACCTACTATTTGGGATCGATGATTCGAGATGCAAATGTAAGTAACTTTCTAATGCAAGCAGCTCTCTAACAATAAAGAAATATAGGGCTTCTTCCGTTTACTTCAAGGTACTATGATTATAGCGTGTTTAAGTTTATAAAATAATATTTACGATACAATAAGTTCAAATATTTATTAGTTTGTAATCATTTTAAAATAGTTTCGTTAGGAGTCAAACAATATATATTTTTTTCTTTTTTAGGTAATGAGAACTTTTCTTATTGAAATTATATTTAATTATTATAATTAAAAAGCAATTAGCTAAATTATGTAAAGATAAAATAATTTTTTATGATTCATTAAATGAATCTATTTAATAGTTCATGATCACTAATTTATTACTACGAAGTAAATAATATTTATTTTTATGTTGAATATAATAACAATATATTTTTTGAGTTATCATTACATAATATTATTAGCAACGAGCATAATAATGAAATAATTAATTATAGTACTAAACAATAAAATAATTTATTACCATACAATAAATAGATATATGTAATATTTTTGTAATTTAAAAAAACTATAATTATAACGCTTCTAAATGATCATAGAAATTATATACATATCTGTAGCATAACTATGTAACTCATCATGAAAATCATTCGGCTGTACTTTACTTCAAAAAGGAAGTACGATGTGAGACGTGGCCAATCTTGATCGGTCCTTTACGAACCTCCGGGAAAAATCACGTCACTCAATAAAACGACACTCTTTCTCCACCGTTTTAAGCCTTTGATGCCTAGCTATAAAAACGAATCAAATATGAAAAATTAAAGAAAGCGCGTTGGGAGAGCCAAAAATGTCGAATCCCCTCTCGGTTCTCCATGCTCATCTAATTCAGTAAGCTCTCTTTCTCTTCTTTCTGTGTATCTGGAAACCCTAAAGTGTTTTCAATCTCTAATTTTCCTGCGTTTTTGTTTCTAATTCAGGTTGTCAGAGACAATTTTAAACTCTCTCTCTAAAACCCCCTACACACCGCCTGAAGGCACACCAATCTCTGTAAAATCCACACTCGAAACTCTCCTCTCAATAAAAAACCCTAACCCTAACAATAATGCCATAACCGAAACACTACTTTTCAATTCAATCAAAGACTTCACTTTAGCATGTGCATTGCTCTCCTCCTCTCAATCCTCCACACACGAATTGCTCTCCTGGATCCCGAAGAACCTCTCAATTGAAGCTAATCGGGCGTTCAATGAGTTATCGAAAGCTTATGTTGAGAGTGATTTTGGTGACAGAAATGAGAGGAGGATTAGTGAGTTGTTGGGAGTGGAGTGTGGCGGTGGTGATTTAGTGAGCGAAGAGAAGAGATTGGTGATTGAATTGATGCCTGAGGTTTTGCCTTTATTGAAAGATGGAATTAAAGAGAGTTCGATCGATAAGAGTGTTGATGGAGATGAGATTTCTGCCGCGTCTGCTAGGGCTCCTGTTGGATTTGCAATTGTCGCTGCTTATCAATTTAGATGGTTTGTTACTAAGGTTTGTCTTCTTGGGTTATTTTGTTCTTTAATGGCTAGGATTTAGTTTTTTATTGTTGTATTTTTTTTTCATGTGATGCTGTTTTAACGTGTTGATTTTCTTTTCTTTCTCCCCACCCTTCTCTTTTTTTGTAGGTTGATTATCCATATTTGGGAAAGTTGTGTAATTTTGTGCTTCCATGTGCACTGACTGCGCTTGATCACTGGTCACCGCAAGTGAAAGTATGTATGTGCATCGGTTTAAGGTTGATCATTTATTATTGTGATAATTGCTTAGGTTTTTATTTCTAATTTGCTTCGAATTGACATGGATTTTTGTCTCTTCATTGTTAATTTTCATGATGGTTACAATGCAAATTCTGCAGTCCAAATTTCTTTTCTTGCATGAAATTAACAGTTCTCCTAAATTTGTATTTACGTCATTTATACTTCGTGGCTTGTTTATCAAGCAGATAATAAGCATTGTGCACCTATACGTTTCAGCCATTTTAGTTTTAGAGTGACACACAATGAACAACTTTCGAGCTTCATGAAGGACTTTAAAAGTGCTTGTAACAGTTCAATCTTTTGTTACTGAATCTGCTTTGCTGTACAGTATTTCAAGGGAAAGTTTAAGATTCGTAAAACGTGGGGTGGAGTGGTCATAGCTGAGTATGAGAGGAAATGGATTTTACTTTTCAAAAGCAGTCATATTCTGCAATTTAGACCCATTTCAAACCCTTTTCTTTTCCACTTGTTATAACACTTTCTGTGACATGCCTAAGCATTTTGATCTATAAATTTTTGTCTTTATGGATTATGGGATTTGTGATAATGGAAAAGAATAATGTGGAAACGATATAGAATAAGTAACCTACATGTTATAGTTGATTCCTTTGTGGATGATACTCTTTTTTTTCCTGTTTTAGGGACAAGGCATGATTAGTTGCACACATCTTGCAAAAAACGTGGATGCAGCAGAACTTGGTTGGTATGAAGATGTGATTCTAGATGCATGCTGTCAGAATATTGTTTCCGATGATGAGATATGGTATCATGTAGTTGAGATGTCCGTACTTCTGGTGACTTATTTTCAGAGGACCAATCCTCGCAGCCCATGGTAGCAACCTTCTCCACTGTTATCTTTTTTCTTGCTTTTTTTTTTCCTGGTCAATTTATGAGGATTCTAAAATGTATTTACGATCACCATTGCTTTCTATAAACTGGGTAGGCAGAAGGCTGCATGAATTGAGCGTTATAACTGGTAATGGTTGATGGTGATCCCTTCATGGGAAGGTACAGATAACTATAAAAGTTTATTAGCTATAGGACTAGGGTTCAAACCTCAGAAGAAATAGATATTGGACTCATAAGCATTGGTTTTTAGAGGGGGCACATTTGTGATATTAGTTTTTCTGGCTTCATTTCACTGAGCGGGCCATGTCTATTATGCTTTTTATTAGCTTATTGCAATGTTTCTTACTGATAAAAATAAAACAGCTTTATGATATATTTTCTTCTTTCTTTTAAACACAATTCCTCGATCCATATGATATTTTTGTCAAATCACCTGGCAAACGCTATTTTGTATTTGCTCTATTGGTTCCATCTTTTCCTTTGGCGTTACTTTATTTTCAGGTTTGAGAAGATGCTAAATGAGATGCTAGGTCACTTGGAGCGCCAGCCAAGGAACAAGGATCGCCGTGTTACTTGGCTTACATGTGTAGAACCACTTTTACATGGTGTTGGTCTTGTGTTAGTAGCTCATTTTAGGCGAGTTTTTCCTCTTTTCTTTAAGTGGATGCATGCTGATGATGATGAAACTGTTCTGCTGGTAAGAATGCATGCCTTTACCCATGAGTATTAATTCTTTCGAGCTTGATATCGTGATATCGTAATTAGTTTGCAAATAGATTTTACGCAGATTAATATTTGCTCTATAGATATTCTCCAAGGTGTCCTTGTTTGTTAGAAGTTTCTAGTGAATTACCACACTGCAGGAAATAAATTTTCTCATCATCCCCTGATATTGTGGTTTGCTTATCATTGAATTTTCTTAATTCTGTTTTTTTTCTCCTTTCAGTTCAAATTTGTTTGTGATTTTCAAAGTAATTCTTGGGAGAATGGATGACTTTGTGCAGGTTCTTAAACGAGTCTGTACAGTTATAAGGTTGACGTGGATAAGGAACACACCGTATTTAGAAAGGTGAGCCAAGGAAAAGTCTTTTTCCTTTACTCACTTTTGATTTGCATATAAAACCCTCGTGAATAGGACTGAATATTAAATGCCTTAAATACATTTACATGTGTCATTACACTGGGATGCCCAAAGCTGTTTTTAAATACGCTCCTATAATATTTTTTGAATCAATCTTAGCTTTTCATTAATTGATCATTTTGGTACTTCCAGCAAGAATTGGAAAGGTTTTTTTTCTGGTTTAAGTACACCTTTAATTGATTTAAGCTTCCATGGAGGGATTCTGATGGTCATGCCTCTAATACATGAATAACTGTGATTTCTGTTCTGCTTTGGAACCTAACCATGACTTCAAGCATGCGAAATTTTCATTTATTAAGCAAGCATGTATTGCTTCTCATTTTGTAAGTCGCTGTTTTTGCCTTAGATTGGTGGATGAACTTGCTTTGCTGTACAAGGAAGCAGCATTAAGAATAGCTCGAGAACAAATCAGATCAAGTGTCCTTGAGATACTGATCTTGCTCCAGCAGTAAGGATTATTTGATTTTAATTCTCTACTTACAGAGTCTACTCTGCAAATATCCCTTTGCTTATGCTTTGCTTACACTTTATTTTTTCCTGTTATGCCAAGATGCAAGGGCCTGCAATTCAAAGCAGCCTGGGACAAGCACAGTAACGATCTGAATTTGACAAGTCTTAGTCTATCATTAAGTAGAAACGCAACAAATGATGTTGGTGCACATGTAAATCAGTTTCATGGCAATTCCCTTCAAAGAAGCTCACAGCCATTGAAAACTCAATGAGCTTTCCATGCATTGCAGGCTGCTTAGTCCAAAGAAGTGAGTCTAAACGTGCTGCATGCAGTTATATCTCTTCCTGGAAGGACATATTTGGGATTTGGCAGATGTGCAAACGAATTCTATCAAGGCTCGCAGAGTTCTTCTCACTTCACTGTCTGTTTCACGATCGTATGCTAATTTAGCGTAGCTGTCTGTAACTCTCTATCACTTTCCGTACAGTCAGTAGCTATGTGTTGTAGATTGCATCTGCAGTATAAAATCTCCGAATCTTAGGCTAGAATAGAAGAGCTGCTGGTAGATGGGCAGAGATCAATTAGATCTTAATAGCATTCCCTTTCCATTATTGTTTTTATCACCATATGCCTTGTTACCAGCGTATGTATTTGCCTGGAAGCCTCAAAATCCAGACCGGAGCTCTTCAAGGTTTTATGCCTTCAAGAAGCATCCTGCTTCGTTTTGGGCCAGAAGGCAGAGGGCCAGGTTATGTTTAAGCTGGGAGTACTATCCACATTTTGTTTTCGGTGGATCAAGATTTTATTTGCTGTTCTTTAGATTTAGTGGCGAAAATGTTTATCTACACATCATGAATTCCCACGATCTAGTTTATTTTGACTAAAAACCACCTTCCCTTTTGGAGACGAATATGATTTGGACTCTTTACTTCTCGGGAGCTCAACTCTTGAGACGCTACATCCTCGCCTATAAACTAATATTGCCTGCAAACCCTATGTTTGGACTATTTTATTGTTGACCTGCTCGCTGTAGGACGTTGTCCTCTTCAACAAGAACGGAAAGAGAAATGACGACAAAGATGGGGCCAGAGGATCTGCTTGATGATCTTATAGAGTTCAATATTTCTTTTATTCCTTAAAGCCTTGTACGAGATTGAAGTGCGTATCAAAGACTTGATGCAACTTGATAACCAGTCTCCATCGCTCTGGTTCAGCACTAACCACCTCCTTCGGCGTAGTTCTTCCTTTTAACCCGGAGCAGTACTTAAGCCTGCCTGGACCGTGCTGTCATCCAATTACTACTTACTAGTTTCTTTGCTGTCCAGGACCATAGTTGGGAATGAATTCCACAAAAACCGTGCCTGAGACACGATACTCTCTCTCTACGGTGTTTCTCAATGATAATGAAACAAACTACATGGAGTTTTAAGTTTCTAGTCCTGTAGTAATCAATATCGAGCCATTCCTTGCAGCCTCGATGTGCCGCCAGTATCTGGTTTTACCAGTCTTGTTTCCTGTCTATGATGGGCCGGAAGAAGACTTCATGATAATAAGTTCGAATATTGGTAGAGTATTAATTCGTCGAATATTGGTAGAGTACCCTATATCTCCCAGTCTGCCGTTCTTGTCATTCCAAGTCTGGCCGTTACAGCTAGTGAAAACTTTGTGCATTTGGTGCGAGCGTTTGGCTGTTTCCCATGTCCACATAGACTTCTTTATCGCCGTACCTGGTCCATGGACTCATAGAGAAGGCGGAGAAGCTCAATTATTATCAGTTTCAAAAGAAGCCATAATCTGTTAATTTAAAAATCTTTTTTTTCCTTGGAAAATGCAGTCAGCGTCAAGAATCTTGTGCTCTTGATATTGCCTCCATCATTGTCAAGCAGACTGAACTCATAGAATTATGATACACAGGTTACAAGAAACGTGAAGCACAAGTGGAACTCTTAGTTGCTCCCGATGCACACGTTAGTATTCCAAATCCGGGACATTCAAACATAAACAGTTTACAACAAAGAATTGCTTCAGTTTGGAGGGTTTTGCAACATAGACGCAGTGCTTTTAACAATAACTTGCAGTCACTGTATCTACAGATGTCATATGCCATCTCTTCTTATAGCTTTGAGATTCGGACATGAAGAAAGGTGCTTCTTCATTCATCTTCAAATGATACTGACTTCTGTGTTCCATATCCCTTCATATTCAGCTCCATCAATTTGAATGGACCAAATCTGCGCAGCAAGTGGATCAGTCGATGTGAACCATCGAGTAACCTAAGGACATAGCCTAACATCAGTGGCTTAGTAAATAGTTTCAGGAATTTATGGACAAGGTAAGATTGGGTGCAACAAGACTCGGTGTAATAATTATTTCCAACGAAAGTAAGCCACAGTGTATTCCAACCTTTGAAAGGGCAGTTGTTTTTCAGTAAAAAGGGTACTTCGGAGAAGAACTAGCAATAGGCAAATCAGCAAAAAGTCACTAAAGGGTATACGCATCTGATTGAACTATGAAGATGGAAACAGAAAGGCATTGATAGAAACTAAACCAGATGAAAGCTACCATGTCTGCACTGGTATTTTTCCTGCAAACAAGGTTAACATTTGTTATTTTTGCTGCAGCCGAATCTACTCGACATTTTATAACTTCAACTTCAGCCTCAATTTCAACGTCAGATAGTCTACCTTAGGCTTGCTTTCCACGTCAAGGTCGATTTACACTTTAGGCTTGATTTCCTTCTTAGCCTTGGTCTCCACCTTAGATTTAGTCTCTAGTTTGTCTTTCATCTCCACTTGAGGTGTTGTATCCATCTAAGCACCATTCTCTACCTCTACTTCTATGTTGGGAGCCAAGTAGAACCTTATGTCACCCATCTCCGCAATTTTGTACTAAACTACCACTGGAAAATCCGGAGACATGGTGATTATAACTTGTTCTGCCAATGGAGTTGCCTTAGTGAATGAGTTCAGATACCTCAGAGCAAAGGTCAATGAAACTGGCTCCTCCATTTCTATAACGACAGCTGCTTCTGGCTGCAAGAACAAACAAGACCATAACCCATGTCAACTGTTGGTCTTTGCCACGTAGTCAGCTCCATCTTTTAATATAGAAGTGAAATACTAATTCACATATACTAAGACAATTAGAGGACTGTAAATAACATACCATAAATACACTAAACAAAAAGGTAACCTTGTCTACACTGGTATTTTTCCTGCAAAAACTGCAAATAGCAAGATCACCTTTGGTATAAAATGCCACACCTTCCTTTGCCACAGATATCCCAACTGCAAGAAAGCCCATCAGTCAATGACTCAAAATTGGTACTTTTTAATTTCTGAAATACAGCAAAAAGCATATAGAAACAAATAAAAAGAACGAAACTCCTGAACAGTAGATAATAAATAAAAAGGAGGTACCAGTATCATCCATTCTGCGGAGGTGCTTACAAACTTAGCAAAATCAAAAGACGGCATCCTAACAATGGCTTGGTATTCTGCCTCTGGTATCCCAAGATGCTCGCTATCGATGTCAATCAAATTCATCTCAAGATCAGCTATCCTATCTTGATCTTTGTTTCAGTAATTTTAACCCAAGAAAAAGAGTGCGAAAAAGAAAATAATAACCAAATTATACAAGCTCAAAATAAATCAATCATAAAACATCAACAAAGAAACAAACCTATAAATTTAACAGAACGAACCAAGCCCTCAGTCAAAGAAACTTTTTTAATAAAAAAATCCAAATTTTCCTCGCTTTCTCAGCAACCAAATAGGGAAAACACACTCAACTGCAATTAAAATAAAAAAAAACTCAGTAATTGCTACTTACTAGGTCTACGGCTTTCAAACATGAAATTGACAGTATCACCATCATCATCAGCGCTGATGGAGACTATCATTTTTGTTGACAAATTTCAACATCTTGTCCATGTTACCGATGTTCATGCCCACGGAGAAGTTGCGATTACAGCGGTAGTTATCGAAGCCATGAGATCTGAGGAGGAGGTGGGAGACGAGTGCCACGTGGCTAGAATTCATGGCTTGGAGAGAGATTCCGGTTCAAAATTGGCATCACTCACTAGGACTTTGATTGATTCTATAACTTTTTTCAATAAACATCCCTGTACTAACCTTAGCTCTAACATGATCGTTTTGATTGATTAGGGGTTTTATTTTTGGGAAAGTTTAGAGTTAAAGTCAGTTAGAGTTAGGTGGAGAGAGAGAAATTGGAGGTGGTTGTGTTTATCTGCTCTTCTTTTAGCGGGAAATGAAGATTGGTTTTTCCCGCTAGAATTGAGGATGGCAACGGTGTCGTGTTGAGGCTTTCATGTACTAGAAAAGTATTATCTACCCTTGGCCTTGGGTGGCGACTTTTCTGGTAGAAACTTCTCATGACCGTACCAACCTTTTAGTTTTTACGGCACTAGCAGAGTCCACTTTTGAATAATCTCCCAAGGAAAGCTTCTTTCACCTTAAGGTTTGGCTTTGATCATTTAATTTAGTGGGTTTGCTTTTCGGGTTAATTTAATTGAAAGGGAGGTCAAAGAAGTAAATTCCTATGAAGTTATTCTGGACGTGGATGGTATATCGAAAACTGGATCAACAGTGAAGGATGTAATCTTGTTATGCAGAAGTTAATTATGACAGTACCCAAAGAAAAGAGAAAAAAAAAATTCATTTCATTTCTTCTCAAGAAAGGTTGTCTGGTGTAATAAATTATGCAGAAATTTAAGGATCCTTTGAATTTTTCTATAATTCTGGATTCATCAGCTCTTTTCGAACATTGCACATGTATTCCAGTCAGGTATCTACGCTGTAGATCCATTTAGAAAAGCATCCCCAACAACAAAAGAAACTAAATGCTCGATTATGGAATTTGTCTTTTTCAGTCAGGTTCGTCCTTTTTCTATGGGTTAAGTAACCACGTATCCCTAGATGCACAGAAGCCATTAAGGCAGCATGACAACATTTACCAGTCCTCAACATGGGTTTTTTCCATTCATGAATTAATCGAGGTGACAGATTTTGACAATAAAGTGAAAATATCATACCAACCCAATCCCACAATCCCTTTCTGAGTCAATAATGTCATTTTAAACGCAACTAAAGCCGAGACTCAGGGGGAACTATATCAGGCTTTTGTTATGGTTGGAAACAAATTATATCATATGATAATGACTAATGAACAACCTGTATAACCCCTCTTTTGGATATTCCATTCTCAAAATGGTGCTCTTTGTAGAACAAACATGGCAACCCTCAATAGCATTAAGACATTGTAGACTTCAATCCCATAGGAGATACAAACATAAAATACGAGTAAAATTTTTTAGTGTTCCTTTCATTAATTAATCAATATGACAAATGTTAATAACAAACTGATTGTGTAACAATCCGATTCTACAATCCTTTACCTGAAAGAATAAAAAAGATAAAAATGATATTTCTCTACAACCTCAAGCTGGAATATAGAGATAAATCAGTCATTTATTTGAGTATTCTACTTCTGGCTAATCCTGCTGTTGTTGCTGATACAAACGGAAACCATCACTCGGGTTTCGCAGACCAAAAAATATAGAATCCAGAGAGCCAAAATCTATGGCACCAACCACAGCCCAAGCTTGCCTCTAGGAAGGTTGCTGCCGCCTGGCACTGCCAATCAGAGTATGGAATTGCACTTAATGCTTTCCCCAAACCACACATCATTTGTTTCGTTTCTTGGCTTCACTGTAGAGGACAACTCCAAAGACTGTAAGCGAGTAACCAAGCATTCCAGTAACAGACACGGGATTTCTGAATATTAAAATCGAAACCACAACAGCCACAGCTCCTTTTGCATTACCGAGAACCTGGAAGATAAATAAATAAATCAAGATCAAGAAGTCTTTGTTATATCAAAGTTCAAGTCATTTGAACACGATGCTAAAAGGTGAAGGAGAGATATCAGCTATTCACCAGAAGAAAACAGGGGTACAAATATCAAAATGCACCAACAATTCAAAAAAAAAAAAAAAAAAAAAAAAGACAGGATCACGGACAGAAACTAAACAATTTCACTCGACTGAACTTTTTTTTATTTTTTGACAAGGAATCTTGGATACCAAAATAGTTGGATTTTTCTTCTATCAAGTTCTGTTTTAGCCAAGCTTTCTGTAAGCTGGCGAGATTAAATCATTTTTACTACTTTAACCCGCATCATTCTTTGTCTATCACTCTTTGCTCAATCCTAAAGCTTCAATCTTTTTTTTGAAAGAAGATTATTTTATCAATCCAATCACTCTTTTCTTCTGGTACATTGTACGTCAACATTGTAAGTACAGCAACTATAAAGATTGAAGCATGTAATCAAATAAAAAATGAGATTGATAGTGTAAAGAAGCATGGAAAGTTGGTTTATACTAATTCAGCCAAGGAGAGATTGATCTCCCCTCCAATATTTACAACGAAAAAACTCCTCCTGTCCTTTCCTTGCTTTCAACTTAGATAACAAATCACTCCGTATCTTAATGGTGCAGAACCATTCATATCCCATTGTGCATTGAATGATTTCAGTCTCATGTTTCATTTGATACAAGTGTCTTAAAACAAATGATTTTTACCAGTCAATTTGTTCTTCTTGCTACAAGAACTACCTCAACATTCCCGTTTGATCTAAGTTCAATGGTCCAGCTATTTCTTAAAAAAAATAGGATTTAGAAACAAAGATTTCAAAAAACATACAAATGTGTAAGCTACAGGTATCCCAGAATAACTAACATTCAGCATTACAATGAGCTATTCAAGCAGGGACAATCAAGCAATCTAATGAATTCCTCCAATTCGTGGCCCCCTCCTAACACTGCAACCCTCTATATTCCCAATCTCCAAAAGACATGCTCTCTAGATCTAGCATTTCATCATCAAAATATACAGAAATATAATTGAAAAGTTTAAACTAGCACATGGAACCAACTATTCCTCGGGTAGAAAACAGGACAACAATCCTGAGCTGATCACTTCAGGAGAGAAACTCTCAGAAAATTAACCAAGAGAAATGAACCAAACACATTCAGATTATGGAGGCTTTGCACATTCTAAAAGATTAAAATGCAACACCCAGAACTGTAACATCTCATTTCCTTTTGCCTTTCACTGGAATAAATTATTGTTTCATCAGACTGACTCAAATGCATGAGTATTTTATCACAATTGCAAAGCCTATTAAAAAGAAACAAAAATGAAAACAATCAACAGTCGCATATCTGCAAAATCAAAGACTTACCTGGAGAGTCAGAGCGCTTGTGTGTTTTGTAACCAAGAAATTGGTCAGATTCACAAAATACGCTAGTGCTGAGTTGAATAGCAAGTACCAGATGATCTTGACATCATCTCTGGCAAGAGCAAGTGTGATACCAACCACATTTTCTTCCATTATAAGCGTTGCAGGGAGTAAAAATACAACGGCTATTGGAGCCATGTATAGGAGGAGGTTCATAGAATTCAGCTTCTCCCTTTAAGATATAAAAGAAAAAAAAAATTACAAACTTCTCAGCATACAAAGAGTCTGACCATCCCCTTCAGTTGCAAAATAACAAAGAAATCGAGAGACCAACATCCTTACCCTTCTGAAGAAAGTAAAATCCCTTGCAGCACTGATTTGAGTGCCCTTGCAGCCGTAGCAGAAATACACATTATAAACCCAAATAGATGAAAACTGGGTTCACCCTATTTCCAAACAGCGACAAATCAGAGTTAATACACTTCGCTCAAATGGAATCAGTTTCATAACACAAAACACCACAAACCTTGCCTAATTTCGAAATGAAAATCAAATAGAAGAGAAGCTATACAGTGACAAATAATTTCAAACTAGGATAAATAATTTAAAACTTCCTAAATCGAATGGAATACTGAACTCCCAAAAAGTTCGCCAGACAAATTCCTAATAACTAAAAGTCAACATAACAGACTATGAGGAATACAAAATACATTATGAAATTTGGATACTGAATATTTGTTTTATTTCAGAAACAGCAGTGCAATTCCCGATTCTGATTAAAGAAATTGAAACCATAGAAAATCAAATCCCATTTCGCCAAGATAGCATAAAATAAACAGAAAAAAGAAATTAACTGAAACGTCTAGAAACCAATCAAAGTAAACCCAATTGCGAAACATAAAAAAAATAACTGTAAAAATTCAAGAAACCCAATTCTACAATTGAAACAAAGTAACAAATTAAAATAAATAAGGAAAAAAAAAAACAGGTAACTTACCCCACTAGCAATAATAACCCCAGTGACAACAGGAATCAAGGTAACATAAGTAAGCCAAGCCTCTCTTTTAAGAGTCATCAAATAAGCAAAAACAGCCGTAAAAAACGGCGTAGTAGCACCAACAGCCTGATTAAAAGAGACAGGCAAGAACCTTAAAGAAATATTACCAAACACAACCGACACACAAAACACGAGACTTAAAGCCGAGATCTTAATGAATTGTGTTTTAGACCGAATCGTCTGCATAGGCACCATCTTCATCCACGCAATTGCAACGTAACTTAGCAAACTACAAGCTGTCATGTGACACATGGTCAAGAAGATCGGGTACTTGAACCCGTAATTGCTTAGCAAGTATTTGTTTAGCAACAGAACTCCTATGTTTGAGCAATACCATGATGCCACTAGACTGATCGTGAATAATCGTGATGTGCTCTTCATGGTCGGTTTTTCGGGATCGGACGGTAGAGATTCGAGAGGAGGTGTCGGTGCTAGGTGGTTAAATCAGGTGGGGTGAGGTGTAAGGGAATGGTGTGGATCTATTGGGGATTATTGGAGGGTCATCTCCCATGGATCTGTGACATAATAATAATAATAATTAGAGAGGATTTTTTTTTGGCAGGGAGAGGGAAATTTCAGGGATTTGGAAGGATTGGGAGGGAATGTGGTTTTCCTTCGCTGATGAAGCTGAGGAAGACGAGGAGGTGGTGGTGGAGGTAAACGCGTTAGGCGCTGGGGTGGGCCGTTTTGTTTTGGCTTCCGTTTAGTTTCCGTTCTCTCTCTGTGCGGTGTTATTTATGTTTTGGGTTTTTTTTATATGGAAAAAGAGTAATGCTATGCTTGTAAGGTATTTTAAAGCCTTGTGTACGGTATAAAGCTTTGACTTTTCGAAGTAATTAATAGGGGTGAGTTTTTTTTTTTTTTTTTCTCCTTTTGAGTTTTCAGTTATTAGATTCATTGAGTTTTGTTTTCCGTGAAATATGAAGTTCTTTTTTCTCACCACAACATACATCATTGAGTCAGTTTTTCCATAAAATGAAGTTATACTTTTATATTTAATTAGATATTAAACAAGTCATTCATATTAAAATTATTATATATATTTGTGAACCAAGTAATTTTTGCATGCTCATGTGTTTAATTTACATGCACTGGCCTTTGATCAGAACAACAACTGTTTGAAAAGTGAAAAGAAAAGTTAAGTAACAAAACCTTATATGATCTTTATTTATTATTATTGTTAAATCTCAACACACTTGTTCTTAATTGGATCTCCAGACTATTTGATTCCTCCATTAATTCCTAATCTGTCAACAATTCTCAATTAAGTCCTTCTATTTAAAACCATTCATTCATTTATTATTATTATTTTCAAAACGATTTGATTCTAATATAGCAATGACATAATAAGTAATCTGAGTAGAGAACATTAACAAATTTAATGGAAATTTCCTTCTGTTTTTTTCTCTAAACACATCTCACTTCAAGATCAGTTAAAAGATCATTCAGATTTCTTTATTGAATCAAATAAATGTTCGTTTAATAAGCAACAGAGCCCTCTCCCTTCAAGAAGGAGAGACGTACAAAGTGAGTAAAAGAAATTCAAAAAGAAAAGAAAAACAAGCCATGCTATTTTGTTTCTAATGGGTCAACATTGAAAAGTTCACTATGGAAAATCAACGAGGAACATAGAATTTTCGGCAGGTTGGAGGAGAAAGCACCATCAGTCTTCAGACCTGTAGTTTGTATGCGTTTTGAAAAATATAAAAGAAGGCACACCTAAATTTGGAACTAGCCATGAAACCGATACAAGTACGTGTTTGAGATCCATTGGAAGATATAATTCCAAATAATTGGAGTGTATTATTCCATACGAAAAACTCAACACGTTTTGGAGAGTAGAAGAAGTGGTCCTGAGCTCGTCATGGCTGCAAATGTCGGTCAAAATGGCAGCCTAATTAGTTAAAAGGATTATAAGAATCTGTGGCCCATGTGCTGCGCAAGTTCTCAGAACTAGAAGAATTTTGGGGTCATGAGTAGAGATTAGAGCATCATCTGGTTAGGTAGGTCCCAGTTTTTCGTGGGTGGAACCCACTCTATTTATTTAATTTTGCATCATCAACTATGGTTTCGGATGCCGGTCATGGGAGCAAATAACAAATGTCGTGCCAGGGACTTAGTTCAAGTCTTCGAGCAAACGATTAGGAGATTCCTTTCGACCTTATTGTAATTTTGCAAAAAGAAACAGGAGTGTTACTTCGTGGAGTATATTTTCGGGACAACGAAGTTGATTAAGTTAGCATAATTAATTTGGAATTAATTGTATATTTTATAAGTTAATCTATCAATTAAACGATACAAAAGTTTTAATTGGCATAAATAAAGATGACAAATTCATATTAAAACTTCAAACATTAAGGTTGCGTTGACTTGAGGGCAAAAAATTTGCTTCCTCTTGTTAAAAAAAAAAAAAAAAAAAAAATCAGCTAAGTATGTTTCGAGGGAGGGGGTGGAAAAAAGAAGAAGCAATAATCTAAATAAAAGTAAATTAGTAAATTAGTAGTTTGATTTTTTTGGAAATAATAAATAATTTTTGTAAAAAAATATTACTTAGTTTCTTAATTAATATTGATTATTTTTAATTTAATGTTATTTTATTTCAAAAAATATCATCTTTTTTTTCTATTTTTTAAAACAAAAAAAAATTAAAATAAAATAAAAGAAATAAGTTACAATAAAATTTTAAAATATAAAACTAATTAATAAATTTTAAAAAGCAAAAAAGAGTTATTTAATTCCTTTGTGGAGACTAAAATAACTAATTTATGATTTACTCATCCAAAGACGGTGGCGTGACAATGGGGAATAATTTGGACATTGGGAACATAAACTTATTGAAATATTTCTTCTGTCAGCATCTATTCTTTCATGCATATGGATCCATCACTTCTTGTAGGTGCTCCGTCTGTTGGATAAAAATTAACTATTGAATAATTTTTTACTTTGTTTTACCAAAACGCTATTCCACCCATATTTTATCCTAAAACACTAATTTATCACGTCTTAAATCTCATTATTAAGTTTGAATAGATTAATTTAAATCCAGTGGAAAAAAATATTAAGTAAAAAAGTTCTTATTATTTTCAAATACATTAAATCATTCTTATTTATTATGAATTAAATATTTTAAATAAAAGTAGATTGCCTTGAGCAATTGAAGTATACACTCTCGAGCTTTATAGCTAAAGATGCAACTAGCAAGGCCGAGCTCCCGTTCATATTCAAAATCACGACTAAGAAATCTTTCCCTAGATGTTTTTCACCATTAAGTTACAACACGATGAATAGTTCTGAGTAAAAAAAAGAGTTAAAAAAGGATTATTTTAAGTTATTTTTTATTTTTTACACTTTTAATGTTCAATAAATAAATAAAAACTGATTTTTTCAAATAAATTAAAATTAAAAAAAAAGTTTTACCTTTTAGCTAAAAAGAATGTATGCATGTGTTCGTACACACACAACCAACTCAATTGATTTTTTTTGTACTTGCAAATTAAAATAATGTCAAAAGAGTTCGTAAGAAATAAATTTTGGTGAATATATATCATCGAGAAAATGAGCATCGTATTTAAAGCCTAAAAAGGAAAGTTGTCTTCAAAACATCCAGATAAAAAAGAAAAAATTATTGAATCTATTCTGTATTTCACTAGTTTGATTCCGGCTGCTAAGGAAACTTCATATTGCACCTACTTTCCAATTAATTAGCCTCTTCAATGCAATTGGTTGCTCCCCTCTTGTAATAAATGCCAATGGGTACTTTCCAATTAATTAACCATCAAGTCTTTTAAATTACTTTGAAATTTTTTGGCACCAATCACTTTCGAACGTTACTTATTAATCACTACATTCATTCCGAAAACACTAGCGTTACCAGTCGGAATCTGACTGAATAAAGCAACTTCAGATCTCTTATAGTACTCTACTTTGAACTAGGTAACTAATTTCTTTCCAATTTTTATTATTACGTCATATGCTGCAAGTTCATTGTCGATTTTGATATTCAATAACCAATCAACTTGTGACACAACGATAAGACTCTTGCAAGACGTGAAAGGTAAGATCTTGATTTCTGATTCCTATTTCTTTTAATCCAGCAGTAACCCCAAAATCAAAAAAGGAAAAAATATGTAGACTTTTGATACAGAACATCCTGTCGAAAATAAGTCTTTATGCAAATAAATCTTAAAGGGAGATAATATTAGTGTCAGTAAAAAGTTTGCTGTCTATTTTTAACCAAAAAAAAAAAAAAAGTTGTTGTCCCTTTTTTTTTCCTCCAACTTTCGAAAAATATATTGTCCTATAAGTCGAACATAATGGTTATTTATTCGTAGATTAATAAGAATTTGTAACCGGTTCCATACTTCCAGGATTAAAAGTTCGCTTATTTTTTTATAATCCATCACACATTTCATCAACTAGACCTTTCATATTCAAAATAAATGTTAGAAAACTCATATATATATATATATATATATATATATATATATATTGCTTATATATTAATTAGAATTTATTACCGGTTACATTCTTCCAGACATTAAAAATTTGCTTATATTTTTTTATAACCCATCACATTGTTAAGAGAACGGAAAAGAGAGAGAAACATACGTAAAGTGTGAGTTTGTTATTTTTGAATTTTGTTTGTTACCGTTACAACGATAATGAGTGTCTATTTATATATACACCGGAGGAAAGGTTCCTCCGTAGCTCACATGCTTCCTTATTGTTTACACCTGCACTACTTTACTATATACACATATTAATACATTACAATTATACTCTTAACACTCCCCTCAAGTTGGCGGTTTATACATGTCATAAACTCCCAACTTGATGAGATGATGATGACTCTTCGTCGTCAAGACTCTTGGTAAATATGTCCGCAATCCGCTCTTTTGTGTGAACAAACACCGTCTTGATCGATCCTTCTTTGATTTTTTCTCTAACCAGATGACAATCTATTTCGATATGCTTTGTTCTTTCATGAAAGACTCGGATTGGAGGCTATATAAATTGTTGCCTTGTTGTCACAACTCATCTCTCGCCGTCTTAACCTCCGTAACTTGTAGTTCTTTCAACAATCCAACAAGCCATATTATCTCACATGTAGCAGAGGCCATGGCTCGATACTCGACCTCTGTCGAAGAACGAGAGACTGTGTTTTGTCTTTTAGTTTTCCGAGACAAGATGGAGTTTCCAAGGAACAAGTAAAAACCGGTTAATGACTTCCTTGTCATAGGGCAAGTCGCCCAATCGAGTCACGAGAACACCTCGAGCTGCAGTGACTTGAAGAAGACATCAAGATCCCAAGACATGGTCTCGCCTTTAAGATATCTAAGTACCCGTATCGCTGCATTCATATGAGAGGTCTTTGGTTGATGCATGAATTGATCGAGGATTTGTACAAGCATAGGTAATATCCGGCTCGGTGACGAGTCGAGTAAATCAATTTTCCAACTAACCTTTGATATTCGGAAGGGTCGACCAAAGGTGGATCAATATGTTTCGTTGTGTGTAGCTTCATCATATTGCACTCGTAGTGAGTTTCGATTTTGTTCCAAAGGCATTTCCACGAGTTTGGTGCCAAGTAACCCAACGATCACTTAATAATTCCGGAGTATATTTTCTCCGATTCAAACAAATTCCCATAGCAGACCTTACAACCTCAATCCCCATAAAATATTTCAAGCAACCAAGGTCCTTAATG